TATACATATATACATATATATATATATATATATGTATATATGTATATATGTATATATGTATATATATATTGGCTATTTTGCAAGAACTTATCCTAATCTCACCTTGAATCCATCTTGTCTTGTACAGATCTTACCTACTGATGAACATCCCAGAGGAAGGTGAAAATAAATTGACTGATGCCAAGCTCCAAGGCTATGCTGCAGTTCTGTCCATTGGCTCAACCCGCTGCAAGGCCAACCTGCTGGGTAAATTGAGAAGTTATTAAAAAAATAACAGCTGATCAATACATTTTGTTTGAAGAACGTTTGTGTAAAATCTGTTAATCCCAACTTGTAATTCAAACTTCACAGGCCATAGTTTAATGCAGAACTTACCATCGGCTGTACAGACAACATGTGAGACTTGGAACAGCATCCACACTAATGAATTTCCCAACATTGGCTCATGGGTACGTGAGTAAACTTGTTGCTCAGTTTGACTTAGTTCTATGTTGTAAAAACCTCTTTTAAAATGTTTATTAGCTATACTCACTTTTATTTAGGTACATTTTGCCACATACTTTTGCACAACTTTTATTAATAGAATGGAATAGAATAGAAACAGCCTTTATTGTCCCACGGATGGGAAATTCCAGTGTAACAGCAGCAACAGATAAAAAGATTTCACACAGAAGTTCCTAAATGTTAATAAACAATACAATATATAAAGAAATAAGATAAACAATATCAATAATAATGTTCAAAATGTGTTTGAACATTGATAAGGACAGACTATTTACAATACAGTATTACAGGCAGAGTGTGTGTTTTAGCAGAGGTCAGCATGTATTTAATCCTTATTGAGGTTGTTGGGAGCAGTGATGGTTGTAGAGTCTAACATCTGCTGGGAGGAAGGACCTGCGGTAACACTCCTTTGTGCATTTAGGATGCAGTAATCTGTCACTGAATGAGCTCTCCAGTTCAGCAACTGCTTCATGCATGGGGTGGGAGACGTTGTCCAGCAATGATGTTGTTTTAGCTAGAGTCCTGTCTCCCACCACCTGCACTGCGTTAACAGTGTTACAGTTTTGCTTGCACATTAGTACAAGCAAATAGTATTGGGTGACTTAGTATTGCTAGGTAATCTGGGCATTCATGTCCATGTAGAGGTGTTAGAGTGGGTTAGTGAAATTTCATTGGCTGAAATGAAGGAAACACTACCAACATTACATGATCCAGAATATTAATGCTATCACAAAACTGCAAATTTGTGACATTTGGTAAATTGTATCACATTGTAGGTCAAATTATAAATACAAGATGCTAATGGAAAGCTAAAGTGCAGGATTTTTCTTATTAGTCACGTAAACTGTCAGTGTCATCAAACTCAAAAATCCAAACAAGACTACATACACAATACTGGAACAGAAGATGATTTTGAGTCCACTTTTATCATTTGTGTGTTACGTTTTGTATATTTTGACTCCGTCTACTCAGTATGCCAAAAACAAACTTAATGTTGTAGTAAATCATGAGACTGAAAGACTTTCACACTTTTGTTTTCAGCGAAATGCGTTTGCCAATGATACCATACCATCGGAGAGCTACATCAGCGCCATCCAAGCAGCTCATCTGGGTACACTGAGTTGTCAGTCCCTGCCTCTGTCCTCTTCTCTTAAGCACATCCTTCTCTCCTTGGTTCGCCTCACAGGTGACCTTATTGTGTAAGTGTTAATTTATTTTTGTTTACAATCTAAACATCTTAGCAACTCTGTTAGCTAGAGGCAGAATTATTCACTTGTGTTCACTGGTATCCTTCTGTTTCTGGTTAACACTCCTTCATGTTTGTGTCTTTAGTACAGAGGAGTTAAATCCCTCTCAGGTCGTGAGCAGTCTACTGCCTTTGCTCCTGGAGACGAGCACAGAGTGTGTGGCAGAAATCAGCAGCACCTCGCTGGAGCGCATCCTTGGGCCATCAGAGTCTGATGCCTTCCTAGCCCGTGTCTATGAGCGTTTGGTGACTGGATGTTACAACATTATTGCCAATCATTCAGACCCACAAAGGTATACCATGTGCAGTGGGGTTTATTAATTAAACCTAAGCAATCCAGTAACAGTCAATAATAAAAAGTTTGCCATGTAAAATAGGTTAGTTGTAATAAACTGTTTGTTGCTTTCATATTGTCCTGTTTCATGTTGTAGTGGTCTGGATGAGTCTATTCTTGAAGAATGTCTTCAGTACCTTGAAAAACAGCTTGAGAGCAGTCAGGTCCGAAAGGCAATGGAAGAATTCTTCTCGTTCAGGTATTAATTTAACCATCATCATAGTTACCATTGAGTTCACTTTTTACAACTAGATCACATGTATATATTTTTTTTTCCCAGTGGTGAACTTGTCCAGATTATGATGGCAACGGCCAATGAAAACTTGTCTGCAAAGTTCTGTAACAGGGTGCTGAAGTTCTTCACGAAGCTTTTCCAGCTCAGTAAGTTTATTTATTTAGTTGATTCCAAACCATGAACTCCCCAATGCAGAGATGTACTTCAAATGGGCTTGTTTGTTCAAAATTTTGTATGGTCACATGTAAATGGATAAATTATTTTAGTGTTTGAATAAATTGAGGGTAGAGCACAAAGGCCTCTTATCACAAAGAAAGATGTCAGCAGAAATTGTACAAACTAGGACACAGACTGCTAGTTTATAAGACAAGATAAGATAGAACTTTATTGATCCCGCAGGAAATTGTTGTGCCAGAGTTTCGGTACAAAGGAACATAAACAATGAATCACACAAGCTATAAAAAATTACAGAGAATATAAAAATACCAGCAATTAAATTCTAAATAGGTCAGGTGCATACATGTGTGAAATGTCTAATGTGTGAATTGTTTTAATTCTTAGACATGTTACAACTTTAAGTATTTATTAATCATCATAAATTATTTTTCAAGAATATAGTAAAAACATTTCAGACATGTCTGGAAAAAGGATGGTTACACCAAATGATTTGATTTAGATTTTTTTGTTATCTCAAGTGCTGAATTATGAAAGTTTTCTAAATAAAATTAGTGACTAAAGATTTGTTTTAATGCTAAGAACGACAATAGAACACAAATATGGAGTTTTGTAGCTGGTAAGAACAGATAGCTTTGGCTTGTGAAACTAGTCAGTTTTTCTGCAAAACCTATGAAGCAGACATATTGTATGCATCAAAACTGCAACATTTTAAAAGCTGTAAGTTACAAATGCGGTAAAACAATTGTGTAGTGATCTCATCGTGTTCTTGTCATTTCCAGCGGAAAAGAGTCCCAATCCAAGCCTATTATGTTTGTGTGGCTCTCTGGCGCAACTGGCCTGTGTGGAGCCGCCTCGTCTGCAGTTATGGCTGACACGAATGACAGCCAGCCCACCAAAGGACTCGGAGCAGCTGGAGGTTGTACAAGAAAATAGACAGCTTCTTCAGCAGCTTACCACTCATATTGTGCGTGACAATAGTCAGGTGGGCGAAGGCGTTTGCACCGTTCTCCTCAGCACACTTATCCCCATGGCAACAGATATGTTGACCAATAGTGATGGAACGGGCTTTCCTGAGCTCATGGTGATTATGGCCACGCTTGCCAGTGCTGGACAGGGAGCTGGTCACTTGCAGCTTCACAGAGCCGCCATTGATTGGCTAACCAGATGGTAAGAAACCACCTTCGTAGACAAAAAGTTTCCTAAAAACTATTTGTTGTTTGTTTTGTTGGTGTTAAGATCACTAGAAAACCCCGCATGATTAAAGAGCATTTGTACACTAAATGTTTTTGAGTGATAAAATAGTTCTAAATGGACAATTATATGACTATTAAAACTCTTCTAAATGGATTTTATAATTTTAATGAATGCTGTTTTTTTTATTCTTCTTCAGTAAAAAGTATTTAACACAGAAGAATGTCGTGGAGAAAGTAAGCACAAATTTGTCTCATGGAAAGGTAATGCATTTTCTATGTAACAGCCAATAAAGTCCATTATTTTGACTTCACCCAAGTGTAATTTTCACTGTTTCCCTTGTGGCTTCAGACTAATATATTGTATATTTAGTACTAACCGTAACATAATTTAATTCTTTTTTAAATTTAGCATACCAATATGCTGGAATGCTCATGCCACATAATCTCCTACTTGGCTGACGTGATGAATGCCCTGCGGCAAAGCAGTGGCCAGGGAACCTCAGCGCTTCTCGTAGAGGGAGAGGAGAAGGCGATGGAAGTGGACTCGGACTGGGTTGAGGAGCTTGCAGTGGAGGATGATGATTCCCAAGCAGAGGACTCTGTAAGAAATCATTCTTTGCAGGCCTGTGTGCGTCTGTCTGTATACATGTATTATTTATAAACAGCAGTTGAAATGCATGGTTATAACACAGGTTTATCATGTTGTTGACCAGGATGAAGACTCCCTTTGCAACAAACTTTGCACCTTTATCATCACTCAGAAAGAATTCATGAACCAACACTGGTAAATACAAGTTTGTTTCTAATTGGTTTAGATTTTAATCCTAAATTAAACATTTTAATTACAATTTTATTTTCTGAACTTTCTTTAAATTATTTTAGTATAAGGTCCACTTTACACACAAAAAAGTTGTCTCACACAAAAGCTTTTGTGAGAAAACGCGTACATGCTGTCAATTTAACACATCAATGAGAACAGTTATAATATTTCAGAATTAGTGGAAATAAATGTGTGCAAACTGTAAAAATACTCTAAATGAATTGTAGAAATAATGTGATTGCTACACAGGTGAACCCGACTGATAGATTTTTTTAAATTCTGTAGGTACCACTGTCACACTTGTAAGATGGTGGATGGGGTAGGTGTATGCACAGTGTGCGCCAAGGTCTGTCACAAAGACCATGAGATCTCCTATGCCAAATATGGCTCTTTCTTCTGTGACTGCGGTGCCAAAGAGGATGGCAGCTGCCAGGTGAGACCGAATGCCTCAGGTCATCATGGGAAGAGAACAACAGCGGTAACTTTGGTTTGCAAGTCATTCCCCCATTGACTTCCATCCAACCATTTCATTTGGTCAGGATTATAGCTAGCCCACATGTGTGGCCAGAAACTGAAAGTGTTATGAATGCCTGCCTCAATTTATTTGTCTGTAGTGAAAAGGCCACTGTTCTCTAGTTAATATTTATTAGTTTTTTTTATGCATGTGAAGAACAAACCATCTCCTACATTTTTTTGTTCTGTTCACCATTTGATAAGCAGTATTTTAGCTCTTCAGTGTTCTTGCTTTGTGTTTGTGACTGTATTGTCTATTTTTATGTCAGTGTTATTGTTTACAGTGGTTATTTGTAGCTTTGCACTCTTGTGTGAAAGTATTTTGTTTCAATTTTAAAATTATTTACACATTCAGCTGAATGTTGCTATCTTGCAATAGCATTACAATGTAAGAGTAGATTGTATTGACATACAGAAAGTTATTTTTAATCACTGCAGGCATTATTATCAGTCCTATACATTTTGTTTAGCTTTAAAGTTTGTTTAAAGTTTATCTATAGCAATCATTATTTCCCTGAACATTTTTTGACTATTGTGTATACTTTATATTCTGGAGGATCTTGCAAAATGACAAACCTTAAATAGGTGTATTGTAAAAATGTTAAATTTGATCCTCGTAAATAAAACTATTGTATTTGATATATGATTACATTTAAAGTGTATATACAATACCAGAAAAAAAATTGTACCAAATATCACATTTTTGAACAAGTGTTCATGTTTTTACTGTTTGTTTGTCACATCATCTACAGGCTTTGGTTAAACGTAGCCCTAGCAGTGGCATGGGCTCTACTCTCAAAGAAACTTCAGCCTTCCAGAGTGAGCTGCGAATGCCTGAAAGTGCTATCCGCCATCAGAATGCCTCTCCCTCTGACAAAGGCAAGGTTACTATTTGTGATGGCAAATCCAGTGATGAAGAGAAACCTAAGAAGAACAGTGTGTGCAAGAGCATTGAGGGCTGCCAGCAGGAGTTGCTTACACAAGTGGTTAGAAAGACTATTTTTTATTTCTTTTTATTTATTTTGGACCATTGGCCATTCTTGGAGTGTCTTTAAACCTTAAAAAATGTATAGTACATGCACTGCATGTTGTGTGATCTGCGGTTTTGTCTGTCTTTTTTTATGGTAGATGGAGTCGTCCACTGCTGCAGCCATTCTCGAGATGCTCATGTTTCTCATGGAAGCAATCCAGATAAACTTCCAGCAAGCATCAGCAGTAGGAAGCAGCAGCCGGGCCCAGAAAGCTCTCAATGAGCTGCACACTCAGGACAAAAATGTTGAAATGACAGACCAGTTAATGGTATGTTGTGCTTCGAATGGTTAGAAAAAGTAATTAGTTATTTGATAATGTATTGGAATCTAAATGGAACCAGTGTTGCAATAAAAAAAGTGCGGCAATGCAAAGTTAAATGTTGCCTTTTTACTTAGGTGCCCACACTTGGCTCTCAAGAAGGAGCTTTTGAGAATGTGAGGATGAATTATAGTGGCGACCAAGGCCAAACTATACGTCAGCTCATCAGTGCACATGTCCTGCGGCGTGTTGCCATGTGTGTTCTCTCCTCACCTCACGGTCGTCGTCAACATCTTGCAGTTAGTCACGAGAAGGGAAAGGTGAGTTTAATCTCAACTCCCTAAGAAAATAATCATGAACAAGTCAAGAGCAGCTCAGAGAAAAATCAGTGCATGCAGCACAAAACAGTTTTTGGACTGAAAATGCAATACAATTGCATAGGTTTCAGAGCACAGCACTGCATTTGCTGCTTTTGGTCTGAAAGCCCCTTGATTCCATTGATAGCAATTATGTGCTTGAATATAAGACGTCAAGACTTCCTTTCTTTTTTCTTCAAGAAATTTTAGCTCCTATCCAAAAGGCTTCTTCAGTTTCCACTATAGTTTTTAGAGTTTCAGGCTAATCTGAAACTCATGCTGTTAAAAGATTTCGTCATTTCTGCTTTCTTTTTCTTCTACAAAATTACACAGGTGGGGTTGTATGAACTTTTTGGGTTACAATAAACAAAACTTTAGAAGCTTTCTGTTCTTGGAACAGAAATATAAAAATGAAGTGGATGTGAAATAAAGCTACTTATTAGCTGTATAATTATAATTGTATGGAAAAATAATCTACCTGTAGAAAGTAAAAGATAAATGTCCAATTCTGCAAGTTTATTGTGTATACTTTTTAAATTTAATGCACAGGTTTGCAATGTTTCCATTAAATAATGCACCATACTTTTTTTTCCTCCTCTGTCTGCCTGATAGATAACAGTTCTGCAGTTGTCCACTCTCCTGAAGCAAGCGGACTCTAGCAAGAGGAAACTGACACTGACCCGACTGGCCTCTGCCCCAGTTCCTTTCACTGTCCTCAGTCTCACAGGCAACCCTTGCAATGAAGATTATCTTGCCGTGTGTGGCCTAAAGGTCAGGAAATTGGTCTTCTAAACCAGAGACTTTTTTATTTTAATTGGTCCTTTTTTTTTTCTTCCACGTGAAAATAATGGAAATCAAAAACTTTAAATCATGTTTGCTTTTGAAATTTTGTAATGTATTTTTTATTTTTATTTTCATCCTCCCAGGACTGTCACGTATTAACTTTCAGCAGTACAGGCTCTGTGTCTGACCATCTTGTGTTACATCCGCAACTGGCTACAGGGAATTTCATCATCAAAGCAATCTGGCTGCCAGGCTCTCAAACTGAACTTGCCATCATTACAGCTGACTTTGTCAAGGTATATATTAATGGATCAAGTGTGTTGTTCAGTATTTCAGTACAATTTGTGAAATTAACTGTGGTTATGAATATATTTAACTTTGTAGAGGAAACCAACATTTAGGTCACATTTGTTTATATTTTGTTTTTCTGGACAACAGATCTATGACTTGTCAGTGGATGCCCTGAGTCCCATGTACTACTTCCTGCTTCCCAGCTCCAAGATTCGAGATGCTACATTCCTTTTCAATGAAGAGGGAAAAAACATCATTGCAATCATGTCCTCAGCAGGTTACATGTACACTCAGATAATGGATGAAACTAGCAGAGCCCAACATGGTCCTTTCTATGTCACAAATGTATTGGAAATAACCCACGAGGACTTGAAAGTAAGTTTAAAATATTCTTACGCTACAAAAATATGTCTTCAAAAATGTGATGTACAAAATATTACACTGAATCTCTGTGGTGTTTTTGTGCTGACATATTTTGACATCTTTAGGTTGTGTTTGCATACTTAAATCGGTGTTAAGGATTGAAAATGGATTGAACATTTTGACTTCAGAAAGTAGTATTGAGATGTATTTATTTATTTTTTGTGATTGCAGGATAGCAATGGACAGGTGGCTGGTGGAGGTGTGTCTGTTTATTACTCCCATGTCCTTCAGATGCTTTTCTTTAGCTACAGCCAGGGAAAGTCTTTTGCTGCCACAGTGAGCCGCAGCACCACTGAAGTGCAGAGGCTCTTTCCCATCAACATCAAAGGGTAACATTTCTCTCAAAACAAACATAGGTGTTTTGGATTTCCTTGCCACAACCAAAAACTGAAAAATGTAAATGGTAACTAAAAGAATGAACACTCTTATGCTTTCCTGTTTATTAACTTTTTTTTTTTTTTTAGTTCTAATGGAGGTAGCAGTAAGTTGTCACCTGCTTTGTGCCAATGGTCAGAGGTCATGAACCATCCAGGTCTGGTGTGCTGTGTGCAACAGACTACTGGCATACCGCTGGTAATCATGGTTAAACCTGATACCTTCCTCATTCAAGAGATTAAAACTCTGCCTGCTAAAGCGAAGGTAAGAATCATTTACTAATCTGACTTACGATATGTGTAAAAAGAGATCTTAGCCTAGTATGACATCTCAGTAGTACATTAATATACCAGTATTTCAAACCTTTTTACTTTTCTAAATTATGTGTAAATTTCACAAATAATAGGTTTCACTAATGGAATTTACCCATTGAACTTTTCATGAGGTAACCATTTTTTTTCTTCTTCCAAGATTCAAGACATGGTAGCTATTCGACACACTGCAAGTAATGAACAACAGCGCACTACCATGATTCTTCTCTGCGAGGATGGAAGCCTACGAATCTACATGGCAAATGTGGACAACACATCATACTGGCTTCAACCGTCACTGCAACCCAGCTGTGGCATCAGTATCATGAAGCCAGTTCGCAAGCGCAAAGCTGCTGCTGCGAGTGAGTTTATGACCAGTTAAAAAGCAGTTTTAGATTAATACATAAATAGTTGGAGTTTGGACTCTAATAAAGATAAACGTTATTTTGCTGCTTGTGGCATGATTTGTCAGAATTATTGCCAGTGCATTCTGCTAAACTGAAGAGTTATTTAGGTTATAACTTGTATTTGCAGACACTTTTTATTCTGTTGCTCAAATTTTCTCATTTGAACTCGTCAATTTTTTCTGAAGCTACTCGAACCTCCAGTCAGGTGACATTCCCAGTGGACTTCTTTGAACACAACCAGCAACTGACAGAGGTGGAGTTTGGGGGTAATGACTTGCTGCAAGTCTACAATGGGCAGCAGATCAAACACAGGCTCAACTCCACAGGGATGTATGTGGCCAACACAAAGGTAGAGACATTTGAACTAACTGTCAGAAAAAGAGCAAAACATTACTCTCTTGTTATAATAGTACAGCTGCTTCTTGAGTTGTACTGTGCATGCTAAATTTAATCATGGCTTTGTAAATGTAGAAGTATAAATGTAGGTTAAAATTTTAATCAAATGGTAATGTTTCTCTTAAATCTTCTGATGCATGCTCAATAATCCAGGTAGAAAAATCCAAAAAATTGAAGAAAAAAAAGTTGATGATTTGCACTTTTACATCCCCCATAGTTGAATTAACCTCACACATGACGTGATAAGATTATAAATTTTTATTAAGATATTTCCTATATTGTAAGATAGTCCCTGTATTATAATGTTGTATTGTTGGTTTTGTATGATACTTGCAATGATAGAGTTAGTTTCTTTTAAAGGACCAGATTGAACTTTTTTGGATCTCTTAAATCTTGTTTTGTTTTTTGTTTGGTTTGTTTTTTAGCCTGGGGGATTCACTATAGAAGTGGTGAATAACAACAGTTCGATGGTGATGACAGGCATGCGAGTACAAATGGGCACTCAGGCCATTGAGAGGGCTCCTTCCTATGTGGAGGTCTTTGGCCGCACCATGCAGATAAACCTGACAAGAGCCCGCTGGTTTGACTTCCCCTTCACCAGAGAGGAGGCCCTGCAGGCGGACAAGAAACTATCATTATTCAGTAAGATTACGAATAAAAGTGTAAAGAGAAAATTAAATGTGTCTTCTTATTATATTCCACCTTCTACTGCAGAATTTCTTGTACTGTCATTAAAAAAAAAGAGATTTTGTACTTGATACAACTGGCTAAGAAATTGTGTTTTGTCATAAAAGTAAAGAGAGAGTTCCTTTAATTTGGTGTCACTATTGTAGCTTCCAACTGTTTACGTCCTCTGATGCATTTTTATTTGTCCTTTTGTTTTTCTGAAGTTGGAGCATCAGTTGATCCAGCTGGAGTCACCATGCTTGATTCAGTCAAAATCTATGGAAAAACTAAGGAGCAGTTTGGTTGGCCTGAAGATCCACCTGAGGACTTCTCCTCTGCATCAGTTAATAATGTGTGCAGTCCCAGTCTTAATCAAAGCAGTGGCAATTCTGATGTAGATATAGCCACTCCCACCGCAACCACTGGCACTGTGCTAGAGAGGTATGAGCTTTACACTGTATGGTTGATGATTTGCACTTTTACATCCCCCATAGCTGAGTTAACCTCACACATGACATGATAAGATTATATATTTTTATTAAGATATTTCCTATATTATATGTAAGATAGTTCCTGTATTATAATGTTGTATTGTTGGTTTTGTATGATACTTGCAATGATAGTCAGTTTCTTTTCAAATATTTTTTCGCTAAAAGAAGCAAACCATCTACAAATCTTCAAATGCTTAATCACATTTTATAAAGCACATCAAACAAAACACATTACACATTTAGCTTTATTTTGTCCTCTTTTTACTCATTGCTCTTAAATGTTTTTGATAGTGGAAGTTGAGTATGATCAGTTTGGACAAAGGCATTTATTTTTAGAGTGTTTAGTGCATGGCTCTTATGATCATTTTTTTCTTGCATCGCTTTCTTTTGATCAACTTAATCATTTGTTTTCACTCGGTGTTTTTTTTTCTGTGATGCTCACACTTGTTTTTTTTTGTTCCTTTTGCTCCCTAAAATATAAAAATACAAAAAAAAGTTGTGAAACAGAGTCCTTATCAACCTTGGACCGGTTAGTAACTGCCCTTTCTCTGCTTGTTTGGTTGGTTTTGTGCATGCGTTCCTTTTTGTGTGTCCATGCTTGAAATTCTTCACATCATGCAACATCTTCACACTGGCACAAAATCTGAGGGCTTTTTTTCCCCCTCACATTTCTTCCTGCATTTAGTGTGGTTTCCCATTTACTGGTAGATTAGCACAGATTGCAGCAGAATAAGAGTGTGTGTTTTTAGTAGTAGCACTTTATTTGGTGGAAGCCATTGAGGAGGTATAATTAGCTTTCCCTTTGTACTTTAGATTGGTGGTCAGCTCACTTGAAGCTTTGGAAAGCTGCTTTGCTGTGGGTTCATCAAGTGAGAAGGTGAATATTAAAATATAATATTCTGATTCCTTCAAAAGTATTAGGTAGAATAAAAGTTTTGTGTCCTTTACTGTTTTTTGCCCATGCTTGTATTTATGTTTTTACCTCTAGGAAAAGAACAAAGCTGCAGCACTGGAAATGGCCACTTTACTTTTGTCCATGCCGACTCCTGCAGGTGTGCAGCATCAAACCAAAGGACTTCTTGCTAGCCTGCACACCAGCCGTACTGCTTACCACACTCATAAGGTGAAAAAAGATTATGATGTGTTTTCCACTCAAAAACTAGATCAATATTCCCAAGTATGGTCAGGGAATATTAAACCACCATTTTTATACCATCTCTCAGCACTTAAGTTTCCACACCTCTCCTTCCCTTCACCCTCACAGCTGTTTGAGGTTAAAAAATATATTTTATGTTATCCAATAAAGTCCTGAAGGACACAGTTATTCTATAATGCACATATCACTTTCAGCATTTTTTTAAACATGATGTTTTAGTACTTATCTGTATTTTTTTATTTTTTTTTTATTTAGTATTTTGTTGTCAATTTTCAGTGGTTAAAAAATTATTGTTCAGTAATGACATGACAAGTCAGGGAAAATGTAGACTCGTATCACAAATATATCGTTATCTAAAAGTATATTTTAAATAAAGATAATATTGATCAACTTTCAAAAATCTTGTTATATTGAATTGCATAAGTAGAAGATGGGCTTGATTAAAGTGTGAGCTTGATTTATTATCATAAAAAAAATCAGTTTGTCGTCATTTAATTAAATGCATAAACCTGCAAAAAAATTTGATTGCACACAGAGGGACAGCATAAAGCTACAAACTTTATTCTAAGCACTCAGTCTCTTGTAATAAACATATCACACCTGAAGATCTAATATTAAATTTCCTGGTCTTGTTTCATCAGGACCAGTCCCTGCTGAGTAATGCAGTGCAGTGTCTGAATAGTTGCAGCCATGAAGGAAGGGAGCTTGACCCAGATGTCTTCCAGAGACTGGTGATCACTGCTCGTTCCATTGCAATCATGAGACCCAACAACTTGGTGCATTTCACAGAAACCAAATCATTTCACCATGACTCTGGTAAGATCCTGTTTTGCTTGCAACATGTTTTCCAGTAATGAGAGAAACATTTTCCTTGATCTCTTTTATGGTTACAAAATTACAGAATGTTAGTGTTGGGAGATCATGCCTTAATGTTGTCTACTTATATCAGACTCAACAGAGGACGGACATAAACTTGTGGATGGCGAAAGCTGTAACTTCATTGCTCAGCTAATGAATAACTTTTGGAAGCTTCATTCTCAGAAACCAAAGAACGCATTTCTTGCTCCTGCTTGCTTGCCTGGTAAGCGCAAACCTTAAAACCTGCAATTTCACATCTTCGTTTCTGTCACGTACACTCCAGCAAAACACAAAACTCTGTGTACTATAAAGTTTTTTTTTTTCTTTAAGGTCTAACACATGTGGAAGCAACAGTGAATGCTTTAGTAGACATCATACATGCATATTGCACATGTGAACTGGATTACATCAATGTAGCTTCCAAGATCTACATGCAAATGTTACTGTGCCCTGTAAGTAAGATTTTACCCTTCATCACATGGAAAATTTCAGGATGGAAAGAAAATATCGCTTTGTTTTTTGTTTAACATAATTTCAGTTTTCACATTTAAAATGTGAACACCATCTTATTCTGTGTAGTTAATGTAAATAAAGACTCTTAAGAAAACCATACTGTGTTTGAAAAAAAAAAATTCAGGACACTGCTGTGAGCTTTGCTTGTAAGCAAGCTCTGATCAGAGTGCTGCGACCAAGAAACAAACGACGTCACGTGACACTTCCATCTCCCCCACGCTCTAACACACCTATTGGTAAGTTTACTTGTTTTATGCAAAGTATCAGATATAGATTATAGTCATAAATTTAATTATTGTTAAAAATCATGTTGTGTTTTTAGAAAATTATTATTATTGCTATGTTGTACTCTTCAAAAGGCGTTGGTAATCTTGCAACCTAAGGTGTATCTAGGGCTTTAAAGGTTTATGGTTGGTGTTTTTCATCAGGAGACAAGGATGATGATGACGACGATGATGCAGACGACAAAATGCAGTCATCAGTAATGACTGGAGTAGATGAAGGTCAACAGGAGAGCCAAGAGCAGAATGAAGTGGATCATGGCGATTTTGAGATGGTGGTGAGGCAGAAAGGAGCAATCAAATCTATGGGCTGTATATGAGATTACTCTTGAATTGTGAAAATTAATTTGTCTCAAACGGGTTTGTGACCCTCTTAGAAACTGATCATCTAAATCGAAAGATGCATGCTGATGAAAATAATTAACACTTTTTTGTGATGCTCTCAGTCTGAGTCGATGGTCCTGGAGACGGCAGAGAATGTTACCAATGGAAATCCATCTCCTCTTGAAGCTCTGCTGGCCGGAGCTGAGGGTTTCCCTCCTATGCTTGACATTCCTCCTGATGCTGATGATGAAACTATGGTAGAGTTGGCTATTGCTCTCAGCCTTCAGCAGGACCAACAAGGTAAGTAGCTATGAAATAAAAAAAATAAGCCACAAACTCTTGTTATTAAGAAGAAAATATAAAGTGACCTATGTTCTTTAAGATAGGCATTTTGCCTGTCCTAAAACTATGAAAAATTGCATAAAGCTGATTACTCATGCTCATGCTCGTGCTGCTGTTTGACATAATGTTTTTATCCTATTAGTGCTTAGTGTATTTTTAGTTTATGTTTTTCTTAGTTCATATCTTAGATGTTGTTGTTGTTGTTATTATTGTATAATTGTTCACAATATGAAAACTCATACAGTAAGGGACTATCATTGCCTTATTTGTACTCGGGAGTAGAAAAATCAATGTCATCATATTAAATCTACACTTAAACGTACTTCTTGTCCTTTCTTAGGCAGCAATAGCAGTGCTCTTGGCCTTCAGAGCCTTGGCCTTTCTGGGCAGGCTCCAAGCTCCTCATCACTTGATGCTGGCACCCTTTCAGACACAACTGCCTCAGGTAATAATAACACCATTCCCACTGTAGTATGCAAAACAGTAAGCAGAACACACTTGTTTTATTTTTTTGTAATTCCTATAAACTTAATTTTAATTTCAGAAAAATCTGTACTTTTTTTTTAAACGAAGAGAGGGAAAATGGTGTTTGAATATTGATGATCAGCATTCACAAAAATCTTAAACATCACATTTTTATAAAGCTGTTTTGGTTTTGTTTTTTTCATCCTTATATTTTAACAATTTGGTGTCAGTATTATTTTTTTATAATTTAATGTCACTCTCATGTTCTAGATTAGTTTAAACAACGGTAACAAAATGGAGCATTTTTATTGTGCTGAATGTTCTTTTGCTTGTTAGTGAACAAGTATAAACTAAGATCATGTATCCAGGCCAGATGACCGTGGTGTATTTACTGTTACAGCTATTGCTATGATTTCAGCCCCGGCATCAGATGATGAGGGCAGCACAGCTGCTACTGATGGCTCTACATTGCGGACCTCCCCAGCTGAGCACGGAGGCAGTGTGGGCTCAGAGAGTGGGGGTTCTGCTATCGACTCCGTAGCAGGGGAGCACAATGGTGGGTTGTTTCAATAAATTAAGCCAGTCTAATATAATGCTAAAAATACATGCCTAAAATAAATTGTTTACCACTCAAAACTAGCGAAATATGCCCAAGTATAGTCAGTGAATATTAAACCTTTAGGTTTTTATACCATCTTTCAGCACTTAAGTTACCACACCTTTCCTTCCCTTCGCCCTCACGTCTGTTTGAGGATAAAAATATATTTCATGTTATCCGATGAAGTTCTGAAGAACACAGTCCTTCTACAAAGCACAGATCACTTTTTTTTATTTAGAATCATATATAAGCATTATTGTAATTTACTGTTTCAAATGAGCCTTTTTTGTTTTGTTTTTTGCATTCTTGTGTAGTGTCAGGACGCAGCAGTGCATATGGAGACGCAACAGCTGAAGGTCACCCTGCTGGTCCAGGCAGCGTGAGTTCCAGTACTGGAGCAATCAGTACCACAACAGCACAGCAGGAAGGTGAAGGCTCAGAAGGAGAAGCAGAGACTGAGGGAGACATTCACACAAGCAACAGGTCAGACTCTGAAGGATGTTGGATCATTTTAAGTACAAATGAGCAGTTTAGTGTTTTACCTTTGACTGTGATCATGATAGTCGCAGGTTTTGACAAACAAACGAAGGTGTCTTGTGCTTACAACAGAGCCAGCAGAACACATCTTTGACATTTTGAGCAACCTACACATACTGTTTACAATTACTAAACATGGACAGAGTCATTGTAACATGGTTTGCTTTGCAGAGTGGTGTTGCATCAAGCCAGGTTAGATAGACCACTGAAACATAGACGTTATTGTGAAAATAGTTTGCCGGATTAATTACTTGCATGGAGTGGTGGCGCAGAGGTTAGAGAAGGCGAGTCTCTGCTCGGAAGGTTGCCGGTTCAGGTTTGGTTTATTTGTCATATGCAAAAATCAACACGAGGTCAACAATGCAACGAAATGCTGAGGACGAGAAGAACTATTTCAACTTGCCCCAAAAAAAACAAAACGAAGAATTATCAAAGCATGCAGCAAAAATACTAAAACGCACTAAAAATACTACTAAAACACTAAAAACAAGGTGCTAAAGTTGAAAAAGAAATACATCACAGTGTGGTTCGGTTAGCAGTGAGTTTCTTTCAGCAGCATGGTTCTGTTAGCGACGGGGTCTTGGTAGCAGCATATTAGGTCTTGTTATCTGGTCCGGACAGCAGGTTGATGGTTATAAGGACCACAGCAGCTGTCCTCACAGACCGCAGTCCAGAACCAGGCCCGGTAGATGGAGAGCATCCAAGGTTTCCCCGCAGAACCAAACAGGTCCGTAGAGTTCGGTCCGTGCAGGCAGATGGAGGATCTTGACCCCCGAATCGACAACATCAAAATGTGGGTGGGAAAGATGAAGCACCCACACCTGCCTCCATCCTCATTTGCCATACTCTGGGTTCTTGAGCCCATATGACCCTTAGCCCCCACCATCTGCTCCCCCGGGCGCCCTAGATGGCAGCCCCCTGCTCCACACAGAGGGCTGTGGTAGCTAGGTGGTCTGTGGTTGTGTCAGGAAGGGCATCCCACGTAAAAACAATTGGCAAGTATTTGCGCGAGTTAGTTTGCTGTGACGACCCCCTGAAGAAGGGAGCAGCGGAAAGGAAAAAAAAATCAAGATCCAATGCTGCTGTGATATTTCTGAGATTTGTGATATTTTAAATGGGGAAAAAATGCTCAGGAGTCAAACTGACTGCTGTCTTCTGCATGTAAAAAAAAGTACTTCACACACCACTACATAAACAATTCAAATTAAAGCTTTAACATCATCAGTCTTTTTATGAAGTCTTCAAGCTTTTTTAGTATTCACACTAGTAAAATAAAAATAAAGTAAAATAAGTTCATAAACATTGGTAGTGAACTTACTGTCTTTAATTTAGTAGCGGATGTGTAATGTTTCCCTTATCTTTTTTAATTTGTCAGTAGGTTGCACATGGTTCGTCTCATGCTACTGGAGCGTTTGCTACAACACCTTTCTCAGCTCCACAATGTAGGCGGAGTTCAAGCCATCCCATACATGCAAGTTATTCTTATGTTGACGTCTGACCTCGATGGGGACGATGAAAAGGATAAGGGTGCCTTGGATGACCTGCTTGCCCAGCTAATTGCTGAACTTGGCATACACAAAAGGGTAACTACAGTTGTTATTTTTTAATGTATGTTATGCACAAAATGTTCTGATTTATTGAACATATTTAATTTCTCTGCAGGATGTGTCCAAAAAGAATGAGCGAAGCTCCATTAATGAAGTCCATCTGGTTATTATGAGGTTACTTAGTGTTTTCATGTCTCGTACCAAGTCTGGCTCCAAATCTTCAACTGAGGTAAATCATCTTTATTATGTATATTTATTCAATTTTCTTGTGTATATTAAATAAAAAGCTTTTGTGTTATGATTACATTCGATTGACAATGTTGAGTGAGACATCAGAAATATCATAACAGAACAAAAATATTCTTGTACTTGAAGACACCAATCAGAAAAACTGTGTTCATATAGTCTAATTTGACAGCTGCTACTTTACTTCTTTTTCTCTTCTAGTCATCCTCCCTGATTTCCAACGCTACAGCAACAGCCTTGCTCAGCCTGGGTTCCATTGAGTACTGTCTCCATGTGCTCAAGTCACTCCTGGAGTTCTGGAAGAGTCAGCAGGGTGAAGAGGAGCCTGTGACCACCAGTCAGCTCCTCCGCCCCCACACTGCTTCCTCACCCCCTGACATGAGCCCCTTTTTCCTTCGTCAATATGTCAAGGTATCACTGTAACAGAAACCACGTGAAGCAGTTATTTTTATTCAGATTTTATTGATGATATGGAGTGTTATATTTGTGTTTAGGGACATGCTGCTGATGTTTTTGAAGCCTACTCCCAGCTGTTGACTGAAATGGTCCTCCGGTTGCCATATCAGATAAAGAAAATTGCTGATGCAAACCCACGAATCCCACCTCCAGTATTTGACCATTCCTGGTTTTACTATCTGTCTGAAGTAAGTCTTATATTTCCGTTTCATGAATTTGTTCATTGTTTGCAAAAGACTAAACAAAAATATATGTTTTTGTCTTTTCAGTATCTTCTGATCCAACAGACACCATTTGTCAGGAGACAAGTTCGAAAGCTGTTGCTGTTTATCTGTGGCTCTAAGGAAAAGTATCGCCAGCTGCGAGATTTGCACACACTCGACTCACATGTCCGCAGCATCAAGAAGCTTCTTGAAGAGCAGGGCATCTTCCTTCGTGCTGGTGTGGTCACGGCAACATCTGGGTCCGCACTACAGTATGACACACTGATCAGTCTAGTAAGTGCCCTATAAGGAGATATCTTTAATCAGCATTGTTTAAAATTTAAATTTTGCATTTTTATTTTGTTGACGGTGTAAAAAGTTAATTAATTTTGCTTGTTACAGATGGAACATTTGAAAGCATGTGCTGAGATTGCTACTCAGAGGACAATCAATTGGCAAAAATTTTGCATGAAGGATGATTGTAAGTAGTTTCCAAAGATTAAAAAAAAAAAATTAACCACTTAAAACCAGCATTGCTAACATGCTTCTTTTTTATCCTTGATGCTTTGTTTTTCAGCGGTGTTGTACTTCCTGCTTCAAGTCAGTTTCCTAGTGGATGAGGGTGTTTCTCCAGTTCTTCTTCAGCTCCTCTCCTGTGCCCTTTGTGGTAGCAAGGTGATAGCCAGCTCCTCTTCTACCTCTTCATCAGCCTCAGGAGGTGGCTCGGGTAGTGCAGGACAGACTGGAGGTTCTCAGTCTTCTCAGAGCAAATCTTCTAGTAAAAAAAGCAAAAAAGAAGACAAAGAAAAGGACAAAGAGGGTGAGATGTTGAAATGTGTTTTCTTAAACTCTTTCAGCATCTTGATGATGTTTTGCATTAAGTAGATGCTTGTCTTCTGATGGTTGTCTCTGTTGAACTGATCACAGGTGACAGTGTCAGCAGCCAGGAAGATCAGCTCTGCATTGCTCTGGTCAGTCAGCTGAACAAGTTTGCAGACAAAGAGACGTTGATCCAGTTCTTGCGTTGTTTCCTGCTAGAGTCAAACTCATCCTCTGTGCGCTGGCAAGCCCACTGCTTAGCACTGCATATCTACAGGTACTGGTGAAACACTGACTGACAATGAGTAATAGTCGCATAGATATGGGTCAGAACATAACCATGATTATTTGTAGAATGGTCAAATTACAACCCGTGTTTTTGGCTAATGCAACTTTTTTTTTACAGGAACTCCAGCAAATCTCAGCAGGAGCAGCTGCTCGAGCTGACGTGGGCCATCTGGCCAGAGCTTCCTGCATATGGCCGCAAAGCTGCTCAGTTTGTCGACTTACTTGGATATTTCTCACTCAAAACTCCTCAAACAGAGAAAAAGGTTTGATTCATTTCAGTGCTGCTGTACTTGTGCGGTTTATCTATGTTTTGGTGTTTTTGTATCTCCTAGTGATGATAAAATGATAAATGTGTTCTTTAAACAGTCAAGAATATCTCTTTGTAATTAAAAGTTTAAACTCTCTGGAGTGTATTTCTCAAAGTTTTTAATCTAATTTTGTTAGTATTTTTGAAACACAACACCACAGTCTCAGAAATGTTGATGGAAGATTGTGATAAATCACATTTCTTTTCTACCACAGCTGAAAGAATATTCCCAAAAAGCTGTGGAAATATTGAAGGCACAGAACCATATTCTAACAAATCACCCCAACTCCAACATTTACAAGTACGTTCACAAAATATCTCTTGTATAGAAAACAATGTTTTAACCATCTTCTAGATAAAATCACCCATACTTTTCTCCTGCAGCACTCTGTCTGGTTTGGTGGAGTTTGATGGGTTTTATCTGGAGAGTGACCCCTGCCTGGTGTGCAACAACCCAGAAGTTCCCTTCTCGGTAAGTGAAACACAACCTCACAGACATTTATTTTAAAAGCTAAACAACAAGTATGTCTGGCTAAATTCCAACTTTGGTTTTTACATACCTGGACTTTTATGTAATTTGTTTTTCATTAGTTAAGCTTTCTGTGTTTGTACATCCAGTTCAGCAAGTTTGCTTGAATACAAATCTTAACAAAATTCTGATTATGTGGACAGAGTGGGGACAAAACAAATCTAAACTAATAAATCTAAACTAATAATCCTGCAGAAACAAATGCCAGTCATGTTAAACTTGTTACATTTGCCTTCTTTTTGTTTTCCAGAATATTAAACTGTCATCAATCAAAGTGGACACTCGTTATACCACCACACAGCAGGTTGTCAAGCTTATTGGCAGCCACACCATCAGCAAAGTCACAGTCAAGATCAGTGACCTCAAACGCACTAAAATGGTCCGCACCATCAATCTCTATTACAACAACAGAACTGTACAGGCCATCGTGGAGTTGAAGAATAAGTATGCTTTACATAAGTGCTTCTGGCGTTTGCACTGTTTTTCTGTCATTTATGCTCATACTAAGTGTAAAGTTCATGTCACTTGTTAGTATGAAAGTGTAGCGTTTACATTGATTGTTCTCTTTAGGCCTGCTCGTTGGCACAAAGCCAAGAAAGTTCAGCTTACCCCGGGACAAACTGAGGTGAAAATTGACCTGCCCTTGCCTATTGTCGCATCCAACCTGATGATTGAGTTTTCGGATTTTTATGAGAACTATCAAGCTTCGACTGAGACCCTGCAGTGTCCACGCTGCAGTGCTTCTGTTCCTGCAAACCCTGGGGTGTGTGGCAACTGCGGCGAGAATGTGTATCAGTGCCACAAGTGCAGGTAAACATTCGGTTTCCTCAACAGATTTTCTCTGAAAGGTAATTTAAGTATTAAAAGTAAGATTGTAATTGATGGTATTTTTTTCTTTTTAGGTCTATCAACTATGATGAAAAAGACCCTTTCCTGTGCAATGCATGTGGTTTCTGCAAGTATGCCAGATTTGACTTCATGCTGTATGCTAAACCATGCTGTGCAGTGGATCCAATTGAGAATGAGGAAGACAGAAAAAAGGTCAAAATCTTAACTTCATGAAAAGAATGTTGTAAAGAAATAGTCAAATATCTACTGTCTTAACCAGAAAGTTATTTAGAAAATGTAACTTATCTGGCATTAATTTTTTCTCCACTTCTTTTTAATCGTGAATGTATTTGTTTTTTCAGGCTGTAACTAACATCAACACATTGCTGGACAAAGCTGACCGGGTCTACCACCAGCTGATGGGACATAGACCTCAATTGGAGAGCCTCTTGTCAAAAGTTAATGAGGCGGCACCAGAGAAACCCCAGGTCAGTCACAAGAGAAGCCTGATCAGCACTTATAATATGAAACTAAATGTTGAATGGGTTTTGGATGAATGTTGAGGGGGAAATAAAAATTGGGCATGCTTGCAAAATATGAAATGTTCATTGTATTTAACGCATTCTTTTCAAAAGTAGTCTTAAGTATCTTTCAGTCTTCATTATACATTTTTTACCACAATATTCTCTTTTGTTGTTGCTTGCAGGATGATACTGGAGCAGGCGCAGGGCTTGGCACATCTACTGCTAATGTGAACAGATACATTCAGCAGCTGGCTCAAGAATACAGTGGAGACTGCAAGACATCATTTGATGAGCTCTCTAAGATAATACAGGTCAAAGAGGGGAATTTTTTTTTTAAAGAGTAGGAAACGCTGGTATTTTTCATACCATATGTAATGATGTTTGTAACTTTTTGTTTGCAGAAAGTGCTTGCATCTCGTAAGGAGCTTTTGGAATATGACCTGCAGCAGAGAGAGGCTGCCACAAAGTCATCCCGGAGCAGCAGCAGCCACCAGCCCACTTTTACTGCCAGTCAGTACCGTGCTCTGTCTGTGCTCGGCTGTGGCCACACTTCATCCAACAAGTGTTACGGATGTGCCTCAGCTGTCACGGGCCACTGCATCACGTTGCTGCGTGCATTGGCCACCAATCCAGCTCTCCGGCAGATCCTTGTCCTCCAGGGTCTCATTCGTGAGTTGTTTGAGTATAACTTGCGGCGAGGTACAGCAGCCATGAGGGAAGAAGTGCGGCAGCTGATCTGTCTCCTCACCAGGTGTGACTCACATGTTCATATGTACAATAATAGTTATTTGCTTTTTAACCTCTGAACTGCACATTACAGTGCAATAAATATTTAGATTTTGTTTTGTTGCAAATATAATACATTGAGACAACAGGCAAATGGTAAACTTTTTGTTTATCTCTGCCTCAGAGATCATCCAGAAGCCACCCAGCAAATGAATGACCTCATTATTGCTAAGGTGTCTGCTGCCCTCAAAGGTCACTGGGCTAATCCTGACTTGGTATGTTCTTCCACAATTGTTATGAAGCTGAACCAATTCAATTAAGAAAACATTGTCTCTGTGATTAAACAGCAAATATACTGGATTAAGTACCGGTAGTTCAAATTTGCTTTAAAATGTTCTGTTTTGATATGAACACTCTTCTCCGTTTGCTCCTTCAGGTTAGTAATTTACAGTATGAAATGTTGCTGCTGACGGACTCCATTTCCAAGGAGGGAGGATGCTGGGAGTTAAGGTTGCGTTGTGGTAAGCTCATGTACCGACCATATTTTTCAAGATATCTATTTTGCTTAAAAGATTATTTTCACTGGTAATCTGTAAGTGATGAGTAACTTATATTACAGTGTGAAGGACTTGTTCTGCATATTACTGCAGTAGTTTCCTACAGCAACAATATAAAGTACAGCAGCACAGTACATCCTGCACATCAAATTTGCTTTTGACTTTCTTGAGACAATTTCAGGATACATTTTCTTTTAATAGCTCATTAAAATACCTTCAGGTGCTGTGTAAATTTCTCATTACTGATTGATTTAGTTCAGTTTAAAACTCTCTCTAAAAGCTGTATTGTCTCTGTGTGCGTGTGTTTGTAGCTCTCAGTTTGTTCCTCATGTCAGTGAACATAAAAACACCTGTAGTCGTTGAGAACATCACTCTCATGTGCCTGAGGATCCTGCAAAAGCTGATAAAGCCCCCTGCACCAACTAGCAAGAAAAACAAGGTAATTATTATATAACTAGTTTGTTTGCTGTTATTGTTTTTGTGTCTTTGAGAACTTTAGGCAGAACATATTTGATTAAACATGCAACACAGCTGCACCCCGTTAGCAGAACAGGCCATTAAAGACAAGTCGAAACAAAAGTTGGATGTCCTCTTTAATTATAACTCAAAAATTATAGACAGTCATAAAAGATCGAAGCATAATGAAATCAACTATAAACGTCTTAGCTGCCAAGATGTCAAAACCTACAATATTTTCTTCCTGTCTTATTAATAAAATACACAATTTATTTAATCTATATTAGACTGTATTAAACTAAAGCATTTGGTGATTGTGTGAAGCACATTAACACAGCAACTTGTTTTGTTCCGTACTTACCATTTGCATTTAGCCATGTCATTGTATACCATACCAGCTTTATTTATAGAGCACTTTAAACATCCACAGGACCAAAGTGCTGTACAATACACATAATAAAACAATCATACAGTCAGATAATAAAAGCGATAAAATGATTAAAAGTCACATAATTAAAGTTGTACACACGTATATATGTATAATAGTGTTTTTTCTTGTGTCTAAAGGATGCTGCAATTGAATCCCTGACCACAGTCAGACCCTACAGTAATGAAATCCATGCCCAGGCTCAACTCTGGCTAAAGAAAGATCCCAAAGCATCTTATGATGCTTGGAAAAAGTGTCTCCCAGCTAGAAGTGAGTTCAACAAGGTCTGACAAAAAATGAATACATCAGTCATGAGATTGTTTCTTATGATAACCTTTTTTTGTTTGGTTTATTTTTATTACTACAGGCCAGGAAGCTGTGACTAAGCCTCAGGGGAAAGCTGAGTTACGGAAGCAGTATCTACTGGAGAAGTATGTATGGAAGTGGAAGCAGTTCATGAGGTCCAGGAAAGGTGAAGGTCTTTTCCCTCGCCTGCTCAAACTAAGCCACAACAACTGGCTTCGGCAGGTAATTAAACATTTTTGTATGACTGTTGAGCTATGCTTTATGCAGAAGTGCACAACAATGACAAAATGAAAATGTGTTGCAGGTTCTGTTCACACCTGCCACACAGGCCGCAAGACAGGCAGCTTGCACTATTGTGGAGGCTCTTACCACAATCCCCAGCCGCAAGCAACAGGTTCTGGACCTGCTCACCAGGTCTGAGACTCAAATATAAAACCTGCACATACAAACAACTACAACATGCATTACAGATGTACAATACATAAAAGGATTTTAGACTTCTCTTCTTTTTTCCATTACCAAAACTGTTGACTCAAATAAACATGGCTAACTTATTGATAACTAATAACCTTGTTTGTCTGTCAGTTACCTTGATGAGCTGAGTGTTGCTGGAGAGTGTGCAGCAGAGTATCTAGGTCTGTACCAAAAACTGATCAAGCCAACGCACTGGAAGGTTTATCTGGCTGCTCGTGGGGTCCTGCCCTACATTGGTAACCTGATTACCAAGGTAATGTCAAAGCAAATTTTTTATGAACTAGTTTATATGAACTCCTACAATGTTACCAGTGACAATGTTTGCATTAATTATTAGATCAGTTTGTTGTATATTACATTTTTATTGTTGTAGAGTTTAGTTCCAATACTTTGATAAGTATGTAATAATGGTCTGTTTGTATTTTGTTAATATCCCATTTGTATTCTTCTGATCAGGAAATAGCCAGTCTTCTTGCTCTAGAAGAGGCTACACTGAGCACAGACCTACAGCAAGGCTACGCCCTCAAGAGCTTGACTGGTTTGTTTCCTTTTTGCTTTATTTAATTGTAAAATTAAGCGTGACTGAGAAGAGCAAGTTTTTAATAAGACTATTTCCATTATAACAGAATAAACCATGCAAGTTATTTTATACATTAATTAAATGTTCAAAAGATTATTTTATTAATGTTGATTTACTGACATGTGGGTTTTGTAGGACTGCTGTCTTCTTTTGTGGAGGTGGAGTCCATTAAGCGCCATTTCAAGAGTAGGTTGGTTGGCACAGTTCTTAACGGATATCTGTGTCTGAGGAAGTTGGTGGTGCAGCGCACCAAGCTGATTGATGAGACCCAGGACATGCTCCTTGAGATGCTGGAGGACATGACAACAGGTCTGCACTGACACACAATCAATCAACAGACATTATATTAAAATCTGTCTCAATAATATTGTTATCTCCACAGTTTATGTCTATGTTTTTCAATTTTGAATTATTTGTGGTTCAGTTTTGTTGGGTAAAAATCCTGTTCATATGCATATGCGTGATGAAACTGTGAATGTGCTCAAAATGTGGAAATTATTTTTTTGTATAGGTACTGAATCTGAAACCAAAGCTTTCATGGCAGTTTGCATAGAAACTGCAAAGCGATACAATCTGGATGATTACCGGACGCCCGTGTTCATTTTTGAGAGACTGTGCAGCATAATCTACCCTGTAAGTTGCCATTTTTGAGCATAGTTGCAACAATTAACATTAAAATGGAAAAGAAGATATTCAATATTAATCATTTTCAAAGAGAGAAAAAATGCAATTGCCTTCTGTAAGCTTTTAAATGTGGAATTTATTATTTTTGTTTTGAATACGCTTCTATGCTTCTTTGTGATAAAAAAAAAACTTGACAGCACTAAAGCTAGATTTTTACGAGAAAAGTTTTATCACAATAATACTCTGAAATATACTTTTCCATAAATTTCCCATTGATGTGAGTTGTTCATTTCAATCTTTGTGTAGGAGGAGAATGAGGTGACAGAGTTCTTTGTGACTCTGGAAAAAGATCCTCAGCAGGAGGACTTTCTGCAGGGTCGGATGCCAGGAAACCCGTACAGCAGCAACGAGCCGGGCATCGGCCCTTTAATGAGAGACATCAAGAATAAGATCTGTCAGGACTGCGACCTGGTGGCACTTCTTGAAGATGACAGTGGCATGGAGGTAAAGTGTCTTTCTACTTGATGTGCTTGATTTTGGGACCTTTTTAACCTAAAGTCATGTTTCTCAGGACGTTCTATCATTTTCTATGAAACTTCAAAATCAGATTTCATTGGTTTTTTTCAGCTACTGGTAAACAACAAAATCATCAGTCTAGAGCTGTCTGTGGCTGAGGTCTACAAGAAGGTCTGGTGTCCAACAAATGAGGTCAGTTTTTCAGTGATATACTGATTTTTGATGTACTTATTTTATTAAAGACGTAGTCCAGTAAAACAGGCACTTGTAGTGATTCAGCCTGCTGGCTTTTTTCCTCCCAAAAGGGTGAGCCGATGAGAATCATATATCGGATGAGAGGTCTACTTGGAGATGCCACTGAGGAGTTCATAGAGTCACTGGACTCGACCACAGGTTAGAGTTCAAATTATGTTATTTTTGGCATTCCTTGTCAAGAATAAACTAGTCACATGTGTCTCAGTTATATTATTTTGTTGGCTGTACATATTCTTTGCTCTCATTGGAATGCATAACAAGGTGAAAGTGCAAATATTTTTCACAATTCATGGGGAATAATGTGCCTCACTTGATTGCAGATGAAGAAGAAGACGATGAAGAAGTGTACAAGATGGCGGGGGTCATGGCCCAGTGTGGAGGACTGGAGTGTATGCTCAACCGGCTGTCTGGAATCAAAGATTTCAAACAAGGGCGACATCTGCTCACAGTAAGCTACATTTATTTTGCTAAAAGTTCTGTGAAATATGACTTGTGTGTTTGACTGAAGCGGAGGCTGCATGGTTTCTTTCATGTATAATAAGAATTAGCTACAACACGTTCTGTTTATCCATGAAGATTAACGTGAAACCTTTGTTTTTCAAAATCAGTTTGAACATTTTGTTTCAGAATTAATTTCTGTTTTGAGGAATTGTTCTCAGCATTAAACTTTTTTAACACCCAAGTTTACCATATTTTTTGTTGCTTTTTAGGTTTTGCTGAAGCTGTTTAGTTACTGTGTGAAGGTCAAGATCAACAGGCAACAACTAGTGAGACCTGACATGAACACACTCAATGTAATGCTGGGAACTCTAAACCTGGTGAGTGTTTTCAGTGAATACCATAATGTTGTGATGGAAAAAGACAAACTTGAACATTTTAAAGGGATTCTTTTAACTTGAGTGTTTTCAGTAGCTCAGTTTTAATAATGTCCTTTTTTCAGGCTTTAGTAGCAGAACAGGAGAGCAAGGACAGTGGTGGAGCCTCTATAGCAGAACAGGTTCTGAGCATCATGGAGATCATTTTGGATGAAGCTAATGCTGAGATTTCAGAGGACAAGGTAAGACTGTAAGCTAAAGTGTACTCTCTGGATTACAAACAAAAAGTCTTAACTTGTTTGGTCTAAAGTGTGAGGTTGTTTTTTCTGTTGCAGGGTAATCTGCTGCTCACAGGAGACAAAGATCAGCTTGTGATGTTGTTAGATCAGATCAACACCCCTTTTGTACGCTCAAACCCCAGCGTGCTGCAGGGTCTGTTGCGCATCGTTCCATACCTGTCTTTCGGTGAACTGGAGAAGATGAAGATTTTGGTGGAACGCTTTAAACCCTGCTGCAACTTTGACAAGTAAGTGTCTCTCTGCTCTCATTTAAATGTGAGATTTTTAAAGAATATAATTTCTATGCCTCTAAATTTCTAAAGGTTTGATCAAATCTGGCTCACTACACTTCTCTAGTGTTGATTTTTGTTGTTATTGTTTTCTTAAGGTACGACGAGGAGCACAGTGCAGATGACAAAGTGTTTTTGGACTGCTTCTGTAAAATTGCTGCTGGAATCAAAAATAATAGCAACGGCCATCAGCTGAAAGATCTCATTCTTCAGAAAGGAATCACACAGAGTGCACTGGACTACATGAAGAAACATATCCCCAATGCAAAAAAGTAGGCCAACCTCTGCTTTTAGATGCCTGAAGATGATCTCTGCAAAGTTGCTAGATATTTAAAGCATGTTTCTTTATTTGAAATCTTTTCAGTTTGGATGCAGATGTCTGGAAGAAGTTCCTCTCTAGACCAGCTCTACCGTTCATTCTTAGGTTGCTCCGTGGTTTGGCTACCCAGCATCCTCCCACACAGGTACAGGATATTTTGATTCTCAGAGAAAACCGTCTGAAGCCAAAATCATATATCCAACACAAACACAAGTAATTATTTGACAAACAAATCAATAAACCTAACTTTATTTGATGTGTTGTTTTTTTATTGTCTAGGTGCTCATAGGCACAGATTCAATAACCAACTTGCACAAGCTGGAGCAGGTTTCCAGTGATGAAGGCATTGGAACTCTGGCGGAGAACCTCCTGGAGGCGCTCAGGGAGCACAGGGACGTCAACTTGAAGATTGAAGCAGCTCGCAGGGAAACCAGAGCTGAGAAGAAGCGAATGGCCATGGCCATGAGACAGAAGGCCCTGGGAACTCTGGGCATGACGGTACTCTTCCATTTATTTAAACACTTTTTTTTCTTCAAGTTTGTAATTGTTTAACAGCAGTTAGTCAAAAGTATTTGTGTATTTTCTGTGTTTGCCTTTCAGACAAATGAGAAAGGTCAAGTGGTTACAAAGACGTCACTTTTGAAGCAAATGGAGGAGCTAATAGAAGAGCCAGGTTTGACCTGCTGTATCTGCAGAGAGGGTTACAAGTTCCAGGTAAACCATCAGGACCAGGGTTTATATATTTAATGCATTACTTTTAGAAGCTTGTTAGAATTGAAAACACAGAGTCACACCATCAAATGTCTCTCAAAGATACTTTGAGCAGATACTTTGGGTTGTGTACAACTAAAACGCTTGATTTGCGTTAGATCTGGGTGTGTAGAGGCAGAGTTCAGGCAACAACAAAACAAAATATAAAGGTTTTGTTACAGTGGGGAGGTGTTAAGTTATCCAGATACAGGAAGTATCAATACTAGATAGGTAAAGTAGTTCAGAAACATTTTGAGCAAATTACATGACACTCTTCATATTGCCTTGAAATTAACATTTTCCTCTTTTTTTTTTTTTTTTTGCTTTTATTTTAGCCAACCAAAGTCCTGGGAATTTACACTTTCACAAAGCGTGTGGTCTTGGAGGAATTTGAAAACAAGCCTCGCAAGCAGCAAGGCTACAGCACTGTGTCACATTTCAACATCGTCCACTACGACTGCCATCTGGCAGCTGTCAGGTCGCCTCTAACTCCATCGTTTATCTCATGTTAATATTTAGATTATTGCGCTTTGCTTGTCGGCAGCTTTGTGTTTTCCTTTACAGTAAGAAAATTGTTATTTCAAATTTTCCTTTCAGGCTGGCTCGTGGGAGGGAGGAGTGGGAAAGTGCTGCTCTTCAGAACGCCAACACCAAGTGCAATGGACTGCTTCCTGTGTGGGGGCCACACGTGCCAGAATCAGCTTTTGCTACATGCTTAGCAAGGTGACGGCACGTTTTAGGACACGTTCACAGAGAAACACTTTCTCGGTCACCAAGTTAATCATTGTTGTGTCACTGTCACACAGGCACAACACATATCTTCAAGAGTGCACAGGCCAACGGGAGCCCACCTACCAGCTCAACATCCACGACACCAAACTGCTGTTCCTTCGCTTTGCTACTGAACAGTCACTAAGTGTAGACTCAGGAGGCGGGGGCCGCGAGAGCAACATCCACCTTATTCCCTACATCATCCACACAGTGCTCTATGTGCTCAACACGTACGGGGATTTTGTTTGTTTGTCTGTTTTATTATAGATATGTGTTCAAATTAACTCTGGCCACAGAAATATGAGACATGACGTTCGTGTCAGTGCTGACTTTTTGACAAAACTTGTCCCATGTCTTCTAGCTAGACTGTTCATTAAGGTTTATTTTGACTCATCTTATACCCAGTTTCACAACACAAATTCTCTCCGTGTAGTACACGAGCTACGTCACGAGAAGAGAAGAACCTGCAGAGTTTCCAGGAGCAGCCTTGTGAGAAATGGGTGGAAAGCTCATACGAGGTTGAAGGACCGCATTATTTCACCATCTTGGCCATCCATATTATGCCACCTGAAAAGTGGAGGAGTTCACGTTTGTACTTCCTGCGAAGACTCCTGGTCGCTGCACATTCTCGCAAGGTCTCTGCAGTCTCCACAAACAAGTGAGATACTTTACCTCGTATGGTTTTGTTTGTTTTTCACAGCTAATATAGAGCATCTGCTGCTACTCTTACCTAATAATATTTGTTAAAATGTGTCATGTTAAATTATTGTCATTGTTGGAACCAGTATTAATATATGTATATAAGTAATACTTAAATCTGACCCTAAGCGTTGAGTGTTATAATAAAAACACCTCACAAGAAGATGTGTTTTGACTTTGGGTGCATTTAAAAGTCCTAATATGATAGTATGAAAATAAATCTGATAAGTTCTAAAACCATTAAAGATTCTATAAAACCAGTAAAATGATCGTAAATCAGCAGCCAGTGCAGAAATGTAAAATTTGTGTGATGAAATCTCTCTTTTTAGTTTTTGTTTGATGAACTGTGTAGGACAGATTTTTTTTCAACATAGTTTATGACAAAACAAACATGTTTTTATTGTTTTATTTGCTTCTTGTCAGACTCACAGATAAAACGCCAAAGGAATATGCAGTTTATCGCTCACCTCTTCTCTTCTGGGCCCTGGTGGATCTTGTCTATGACATGTTCAGGGTAAATATCCTACAAAAAAGTCAAACCTAGATTGATCACAATGTTAGAGTTAAGTACAACAATACCTTTCTGTTATTTATTTGTCTACAGAAAGTACCCACCAGCAACACAGAAGGGGGCTGGTCCTTCTCCCTGGCAGAATATGTCCGTCACAACGACATGCCCATCTACGAGGCCTCGGAGCGCGTGCTCAGAGCCTTCCAGGATGAACTCATGCCAGCCGAGTCCATTTCAGAGTTCTTCGACGTTGTAGGTCAGTAAACGCACGCGTGGTTCATCTGAGTACTCCACAGAGTAGGAATTGATTTTAGAAAATTCAACAGATTCCCCCCAAAGCACTAAATTGAGACAGATTATCTATTTTAGCTTAACTTTTCCTTTTGCAAGGATTATTTCCCGTTTTTCTTTTTCAGTTTTTTAATGCAGAACTTCTTTTGTTTTCTTTGTTTTTGTCCTTTCAGGTCTCCTTTCTGAAATACCATTCCCGGACCTCTTCATGCAGGATTTGTTGAACTCTTTGCCCTGATTCAGCATCAAACCACATCCCTCAGACACACAACAACTTTAAAATAAAAATAAAGAAGTGCTGTTTACACACTGAGACACACACACAGTTAACAAACACCATGCTTCCTGTTCAGCTACCACCCCCACATGACAAATTAAACTGTGTAGTCTACAAAGAGTAATAAACAAATAAAAACACTCGTCCACTTTTGGCAACATCTCTGTAACACCATTGATGTTTTTGGCTGAAGAGGACACACTGAAGCATAATCTACGCTTTGCCCCCACTGATCCAAATTGCTTCAGTCTGATTAAAGAAGATTTGATGTGTTTTTATTAGCAAGTTTAAGGAAAAGAAACGTAGGAACCAACTGATCATTTAAGATGTTTTGTGTGTTTTCACTTTACTGTCGAGAAAACTGAAGCTTCACTGTTCTTTTATGGCACGCTAACAGAATAACACCTTCGTGTTCGGATGTCAGTGGTTTGGTTGATGGGAGTAAATCCTGAATTCTGTTTTGGAATGAGTCAAAGTTTGCTTGTTTGTTTTAAATCCCTCCGATATAAGTGTGCAATGTTAAGGTAACTAAAAAGTTTTTGGATTTGACCCACCACATGTTAGAAGTGACATTTTATTTTGTCTTGTTTTCCTTTTTGTTTGCTTTAAGTTTATTTTTGATCTGTTTTTTTTTTTTCCAATGTCACATGGTTGCAAAGCTCTCGTCTTTTTCCTTTTGGGTTTTTGGCCCGAACGTTGGTTCTAACTGGAATTTGATTGACAGACAGGGAACATGTGTCTCAGGTTTGTTCCATCAACCTCAGAACTAGATGGGGGATTTAAAAAGAAATGAACCAATTTTTTGCTTTTTGTTTTTCTTCCATAAAGCTATGCCTTTGAAGTGAACTTATGAAACAATCCATCTGTTGCAAAGAAATATCAAACATGTCTAAATTAATAAAACAGACTTGCATTATATCCTTAAACCCTTTGCTGTTTGACTCATGATTTGTTCATTTAGTTTCCTTCTCATTTCCCCCTCAGACCTCTACACTCAATTCACTAGATTTACTGCTAAACTGCTGACAACGCGCTTGTGTTGATCCCCAGAATACTTCATGGAAAGTAAAGATCAACTCATTTACCTTCAGATGACAGAAAGTTGCTTCAGTGGGTCCACATCTAGGTTTTTATGCATGTTTGAATGAATTCAACTAGCCGTGCTTCCTCAGTTTTTGTCCACCCTGCAGAGCCCTCCTTGCTTTTCCAACACAAAACGAGTTCAGGTCATGTGATGTGTTGTAGAATTAATAATGTGACAATGATCATTTCTGCAAAAACAAGCCTTTAATAAAATATTTCCTGTCAACTTTTCCAGGTTTTGCAAAAGAGTAGTGAGAGCAGATATGTTGTATGGTCTGGAGACAGTGGCTTTGACAAAAAGAAGAAAGAACTGGAAGTGGCAGAAATGAAGATGTTGAGGTTTTCCTTAGGAGTGACAAGGATGGAGAAGATAGAACAGAGATCGTTAGTACAGCACAGGTTGAACAACTGGGAGATCCAAGTTAGAGAGGCCAGACTGAGATGATTTGGACATGTCCAGAGGAGGGACAGAAGGTATATTGGTAGAAGGATGTTGGAAATGCAGCTGCCAGGACAAAGACAAAGAGGAGATGTATGGATGCAGTTAGAGAGGACATGGAGATAGTTGGAGTGAGATGGAGGATGCAGAGGACGACTCGCTGTGGTGACCCCTGAAGAGGGAACAGCCAAAAGTAGACAGACTGTCATCGTTTGGCCTTTTTTAGATGCAGCACATTTGAAAATGATGATGGTTCAAAATAAGATCAGGTTCTGGATTTGTGATGATTTGGATATGAATTTCTTGAGTTCATAAAGAACGTAACTGCCTCTAGAGGGCATTATACATCAAGATGTTTGAGCACTTTGCTGCTCAAAATGTTTCACTATCTAGTTAGAAATTAATGTCTACAAGCTTAAAATATGACATTTTTCAAAATTACACATGAAAGCACATTTTGCACTTTTTAGGGTTTCAGCAATACATTACAATCACAACAAGGTGTGCAAACATTTTTATACAAAGAAATATGACTGTAACAAAAACCTGTTTTAAGAAGAGTTAAAGATTACAGTTTCCACTTTTAACTTGATGCTCACTGATCGATTTAATTTTCGTCCACGGTGTTCATGCACTGGCCGTGCCACGTCCTCAGCAGGCCAACGGAGCAGTTTCAGAGCATCTCTGGAGGGTTTGTGGAAAACAAGGGTCTTTACTGTGAAGAACGAGACTGTCTCGTCCCACATGTCTGATCTGGTCATCCCAGTGCTCAATTGTCTCTGCAGAGTCTCAGTCCTCTCCAACATGCTCATCTTACACAGGCTGTGGAGAAAACCAGAGTTAAAACTTGGAAAAAAAAATAGCTTTTCTGCACAAATGTGTCATGTTGAATGACTTTACTGAAAAATGTTTAGAAAAAACCCCTGAAACATTGATAAAGTTAAAACAAGTAAAAAAAAATAGAAACAAGAACAGTAGCTTAAAGTTAAAATAAGCAAAGCAATAACAAATAACTAAACTAGCTCTACCGAAACTACAAACTAAAGAAAGCTACTGTAGCTAAAAGCTAAAACTTGTATAAGATGCAGCTCAAGGCTAAAGTTGGCAAAACTGACAAATAGTGGAAAATGTCAACACTAAAGCTAAAAGGAGCACAAGAATATATAAAAAAAACAAGTTTAACAACTCTATACACAAAAATGTATTATATTATTACTAAATATTATTTTAATTTTTTTTTATAATATGAAACTTTTTTGACTGTTTGATGCTGTGACAACTTCATTTTCCTCAAGAATAAATAAAGTGGAACAATGAGATGTTCAGAGTTGGTTCTCAATTCAAAATATTCAAGAACAGGAGCTTGGTTGTGTTTAAAGACAAACATATGGAATTTATGTAAAAAAAAAAAAAAAAAAAAGATCCTGATAAATGCACTGGGAGTTGCTAATTTATGAAAATAATTTTGATTTTTTACTTTCTCTTTGATATTATGCTTCAAAGCCATGGAATGCCATATTTACCCCAAACTGCTCCAGGAACCAAACTGAAAGAATCATGTCGCTCAAATCAAACCTAAACTTTCCTGACACCAGGCTAAAATGAAATCAAAACAACTTACTTACTTCAATAACTTATTTAAACGTACACTGCGAGCTGGTTCCTCATGATGAGCACTCATTCCGATGTCATCCGTGTCATTCAGGCTCTTGTGGGGTTCAAGAGGCAGTCGGGGTTCTGGTTTTGACCCACCTCAGCCTCCCTCGTTTAAATACTTATGCCAGCTTTCTCAACGACCGGATGATGTGCCGGTTCTCACCGTGTTGGGCCAATCACAAAGAAGTGTTATGACAATAGAATGTGAATAAATTAGTTGAACTTGTGGGGTACAATGGACCCCAGTCCAAACAAACAGGTGGGAGGGCCCTTCATGCCTCTGGCTGCTCAGATGAGAAGTCCTTACTGGATCAATGGGGAGTGATATGTGGTGGGAACGTGGAGGGAAAAACATCTGCCTGATAAACATTTTACTTCAAGTCTGGAATGAGGGTAAAGAGATGTTGGGAGGGGGAAAGGAGGCCTTTTGTTTCTATCTTCAGTTTAAATCTTATATGTGTCAGCGGGTCAGAAAGCTTAACACTCATCAGGCAGTGGGTTTTGGGCTTTGTGGGGGTGTTTTTTGTTGTGTGTCTTTATTCTGTACTTTCATCCCCTAAATTATTGTGGCTGGATGCACCTTTCACTGTTTCCTTTACATATTTTCCTCTATCAAACCAACCTGAAAGTTGCCCACCTTTCTCACACACTTTCTTTTCTTTTCATTTAACTTTCCGTCTCCATTTCATCCTTTCCAGTTCTCACGGTGTGAGCGTCTCCCATGCCCCACTGGTCGACAAAAGTGCACAATCCATCCAGATGGTGTGCCTGGAAGCCTTGTTGACAACCCTGTCTTCCTGGGTGTGTGTGTGTGCGTTTTGAGACGGAGGAGGGGGGGCTGGTCACTCAGTCCTTGTTCAGCAGGGCACACTTCCTTTGTGCAGCCTGCCTTGGAGTCATTAACGCTGAAGTGTGGGAAGCCTGGGACCACAGCAGCTCCCACGTTCCACACAGGCAGGAAGGGAGCGTGTGACTGAGACGTGGCCTGCGGCAGGCAGCGCAGTGTGTGTGTGTGTGTGTGTGTGTGTGTGTGAGTGTGTGTGTGTGATTAGAGTTTATCTGACAGGGCAGCATGTGCCTGAAGTGTGAAAACTCTAAATATGATTCTTCTATCAAACGCTTCATGAAGGATAATGTTTTTAAATTCAGAAGTTGTTCTGGAGTATATATATATATATATATATATATATATATATATATATATATATATATATATATATATACATATAAAGTGTACAAAATATAACAAATCTGAAGATCTTCTTTAAACCTGGTTATAGGTTTGTGAAAGTGGTGGAGCTCAAATAATAATAAAGACTTAAAATGAAAAGCATGGACATTTAGATGATAATGAAAGACTTTCTTTTTTTTACGACGAAGGACAAGACTAAAGAACAAAAAGTCCAAAAAGGAGCCGACACAATGTGTGTGAAGCCTGGACCCGTGGTTCCAATGTATGGAAAGTGGGAAAACTTAAAATAATCAAAGTTCATGCTCAATAATCCAGGTATAAATCCAACAATGTTCAGTCAGGTCATCTGGATGGTTTCGTCCACATGACCTGACTGAACATTGTTGGATTTATACCTGGATTATTGAGCATGAACTTTAATGTTTTGAACCACTTTGGCTATGGCTGCCTCAGAGGAGTCGACGGGGGAGAGGGCGGACTCCAGAAACCATCTTATCACCATCGAACTTGTTGGCCCACTATGTGAGTGGGCCATTCATGGGGACTGAGTTTGTTGTAGCTCCTCAGACTGATGAAGTCCTTTGGATGAAGGATGAAATGTTTCAACAACAACAACAACAAAACGTCCAGAGGACCTAACTTAACTTTGTTGTATTTTTTTTTTAAAGTTCCTTCAGCTAACAGAACTTTTAGTCAGTTAATTTTAGAGAAGGTTAACTTGAACCAGCTTAATGAGCTTTAACAGAAAGGAACATTTCAGACCTCATAAAGTTTGAGATGTTTGATTCTTAAAGCCAAATAGCTGCTGAACAGAATATAAATCATACAAATTCAGGAAATAAGCTGAGCAAAGTGATTTTATTCAGTTGTATCTATTTCTATGGAAAACGAATTCTAAATTTGTTTACATGTTTTACAAACGTACAATAAAAGATAAAAACTGGGAGAACACATTGTCATAACAGAACTCCAATAAATTAGCAGAAAGCATTTTTAGATAATCTGATAAGGAACCACAGGAGTCATATGGAATCAAATTAATTGTAATAAAAAAAATCAGCTAAAGGTAAATAAAAAAATACCTCTGAAAGTCCTTCCATCCATCCATCCATCCATCCATCTATCCATCCATCCATCCATTATCTTTACCCACTGCTTCCTCTCTGGGTCACAGGAGTCACTGGTGCCCATGTCCAACTATCGTTGTGTGAGAGGTGGGGACACCCTGGACAGGTCTCCAGTCCCTCACAGGGACACATGGAGCCAAACGAGACAAATAACCATTTACTCTCTCGTTCTAATCTAAGGACAATTTGGAGTTACCAAACAACCTAACATACATGTTTTGGTCTGTGGGAGGAAACCGGAGTATCCAGAGAAAACCCACGCATACACTGAAAGAACATACAAATTCCATCCAGAAAGGCCCACGGCTGGGATTTGAACCGAGGCAACCTGCTCGCTGAGAGGCAGCAGCTCTAGCAACTGCGCCACCGTGCTGCCCCTCTCTCAAAGTTTGAAAATACTATTGCTCAAAAGCACTTGAAAAGATCACAAAAACGTTTGTTTCCTCACAAGGACCATTTAAATAATATAATATAACTATATATTTTAAGTGATTAAATTATGTAAATATGGTAAGCTTATAAAGCGTAGATAATCTAGTTTCTTCAAGGTTCAGGTTCTTTATTGTCATTCACATCACATGTGGTACATGAGGTGGAATGAAATTGTGTATTCAGGATCCCATTTATACCCCAAAAATAGCAAAAATATAAAGTATAAAGAGAAACAGTATATAAGGATCTAAGGTATCTGCCAAACACTAATAATGTAAAATAATACGGTATATTAAACATAAGCCCAACGTATATTCTATATATACTTACGACATATATATAAGTTCTTGTGAATATGTACGTTATGTGTGATCAGATTTATTATTCATTCAAATATAAAAATGTACTCACAATTATCCTGATGCATGCTCAATAATCCAGGTAGAAAAAACTCACAATTACTTAATTAGATACAAATTAAGGAAACTAAAACTGCCCAACTTTACTGTATGTTTTGCGACGCCTGTAATGAAAGTAAATTGAGTTCCCTGTTGTTCTATTTCAGACTAAAAGAATGTTTTGATTGAGCTCTTTCAAACTAATTTTAGTGTTTAAACCAAAATTTAATCAAAATAATAGATCAATGGTCTACACATTTTCTTTTTTTTAATCAATCAGATTTAATTTTAGTTCAAAATCTTGCAGAAGAACTCCGTTTTCCCTCCAATTCTCACATGACTCAACTGTTGCACAGCCTGGCGGGAAGTCTGCCTCTTCAAACGGGTGGAAGTGGCTGCATGTTGGTCTTTTCTTGCGGTTGGCCCCTCTCTAACACCCACGTGTGCCTGGTGGCCGAGGCACTTTGTCTTCAATTACGTGGCGGTGGAGACAACATGAGACAGCGGCATGCTTCTCTCTGGGGTCACCACTTTCCCATATCAACAAAAGCATTGGGTCATTTTTCCAGCTTCAATCCCCCCCATCCCACTCCTCCTCCACCCTGGGCTCTTTCTCTTGTGGTTTATTTCTCCACCTGCTCCCCAGAGGCACACTCATTGTCCCCACAGCTATAAACACTTCATTGAGCATGTGGCAGCCCTGCGTTCCCCACAGCCCTTCCCAGCGCTCCCATTGGCCCAGAGACTGTGAGAAACTCCAACAAGCCTCAGACTCACACATTCATATGGAGATTTGGGTGTATAAATACACGGCAGGAGCAGCAGGAACGGCAGCTCACCCTCGACTGGTTCTTCAAACCGAGCAGAGACGCTCCGACTCAGCAGCGATGGCACCCACTGTCGTTGGACAAGCAGCCAAGAACCACCTGACTCCAGCCCATAAGGTAAACCTCTGCTCCATGATGTTGCACGTTCTTCTCTTGAGCTGCGTTGAAGTGAAACAAAAGTTGATGCTCAAGTTTAACAAGCTGTTTTCATTTGCGTTTTCCACAGCTGAGAAAGCCAATGGTTGAGAAATTGCGCAGAGACCGCATCAACACCAGCATCGAGCAGCTGAAATCCCTCCTGGGACCTGAGTTCCTCAGACAGCAGCCGGACTCCAAGCAGGAGAAGGCAGACATCTTGGAGATGGCCGTGACCTATCTGAGATGTTGGCAGCAGCAGAAGCAGCAGAGCACCCCGACCTCTGGCCTCATGACGGCCACTGATGGTTACTCCCACTGCATCCAGGAGGCTGTCAGCTTCCTGTCCCGCTGCGAGGTCCAGTCTCAGGCACACAGGCTGCTCCGCAACCACTTCCAGGGTCTGCAGGAGTCCAGCAGGACCTGTCTCAGCCCCTGCAGCCCGTCTCCTCCTAGTTCTCCTCTCCATCAGGTCATCTCCAGAAAGGGTTTGTGTCCGAGCAGCAGTGCTCTGTGGAGGCCCTGGTAGGAAGAAGGAACTTTCATCCAGACAGAACTACGTCTGTGGACGCCATGGACAGAAAGTCAAAGGCTCAATGGAGTCCATTTCCTTTTGTCTCAATACAAGTGTTGAACTGTTTGAGAAACTTCCTGAGGAAGGACTGAGAATATTCAGGTTTTACTGAAAACTTACACCATGTGTAAAAATACTTCACACATTTGTTTGTTCACCGTGTGATTTTGTGAACTTCTCCTGTGGAGAAAACAAATCCCAACTTTTTTATTTTCTATGCAAAGATCAGTAAATTATATTGACCACATTGGTTTTAAATGATGTTTATTATTTTGTTTTCTCATATGTTTTATCATCTTGCTGGTGATGAATCAAAAACAAGCCACAGAAAGGATCCCATGGATCCACCTTCACTGTAAATCCTTTGAGGATGTTCTTTATTGTTTGAGTTTTTGTAACCAATATTTGGTTTTCTTCTGGATGAGTGTTGATGGATTTCTAGTTTCTTGTCCATTTGTGATGTTCACACCAGATGTTTTTCATCTCCCAGTGAATGCCTTTCATAAAGGCCTTTTGTACTGTCTTCAGTCTTTTTTACTGTTGCTTCCTTGAGAAGTTTGCATTAAACATGTGACAAAAAGAAATCTTGTCAAGTTTTGTAAGCACAAATGATAATCAGGTTCTTGTTTTTGTTTAGAATCTTATTCATGCAGCAAATTATGTCACGCAAGTTTCACAAATCTCAGTAAAACATGATGTGTGTGTGACAAACTTTACATGAAGTTACAACAACACAGTGCAAGTAAACATCCAAACACTCACAGGATCAAGATCATCTTGTGCTGACTAATGACAGAGCTGAGATGTCTATAAGGTCTGGAAGTGCTCAGAGTATGTGTTGTGAATAACTGTCAGCTACTACCACACCAAATTTAGCTTAATATCAGTTAAATTCTCTGAGTTTTTAAGGGCATCTTGAGTTGGGTCAGTTGTAGATTTTCATGTATTATGGGTGTTACCAATACAGTAATGCGTAACAAAATAGTTAAAGAAATATACAATGATGTGCAAAAGTTTCGAGTCAACCCTCATTTCTTAATATTATTTTTCTAAGGACCCCGACTTTTTTCTATAATCTTTTGAAGTGGTCTTGAAAAGTATCTAGAAGGTCTTTCAGATAATTTTTATTTTTAGGCTGTGTTGTAACTAATTTTCAGTTTTGATTATGTTGTATTTTTTAATTTTGATGCAAACGAAATGTAAAAAGTCGTAGAACGAGCCAGAACTCATAAATAACACATTAGCATAAACAAATAAATAAATAAACACAGTTGAATTGAAGACTGAAACTTTATTTCTTGTAGCCCTTCACAGAGATACAATCTGTTTTAAATTCAGTAGTTACAGTAAGCTTATTAAAAAACAAACAAAAACCGGAGTTTGACAGGCAGAAAATAACAATTTAGCACCAACAAGGAGATTCAAATGATCAGCTGAAAGTGTGGCATACAAAAGGTGATCAGCTAAAGGATGGTGCATCTTTCAGCTCGTATGCATCATTTCCTAAAAACTTGACAGTACTGTTCATCTGCTGTGGATGTGATGTGTCTTTATTGCTTTTGTGCTCATTTTTAAGTGCATATCATGTCCAGGTACAAAAACTGGACAGAAAATAAGAAGGGGGGGGGGGCTTTAAAAGACCTACAAGGCCAACATTGTTTAAAGAAGTTAAAGATGGATTAAAACTTTTTCACAGTGCTGTACTGGATACATGTGGATCATCAACATCCCATCTTGTCTGACTTTGTTGTTGAACAGGTGTTTCCTCGGATGTGGTGAGCATTATGTCTCACGTGCTCCTAAAGTCTTTCACAACTCCTCGTGTGTGTGGAGGTTGTGCAGAACGTGGGATGCCACAGACTTTCTCAGGGTCTAGTTTGCCAGGCCAGATGGTCTGGCTGAAGCTGCACCCCCCCTCCTCTCCCCCTCCTCTCCCCCTCCTCTCCCCCTCCCTGCTCTTCAACAGGAGATCAAACACCGTAGCTAATGTGATGTGTAACAAGACACACTTCTATTGTCCCCACGTTGGGGCCAGTGAATGGACGCAGAGTGTGGGAAACGAGAGATACCACACTCACAGAGCGATGGCTGATGGGTAGCAGCTCCGCATCGCCGCGGGTCTCAGAGATGGACGAGACTTTATGGCAGGAATTCACAGCTCCCGGGCGGGCAGTGGGTGGGAGGGGAACTCATCTTCCCACACACTTTTAGACAAAGACCTCCAGAAACAGTGGCGTGCACACAAACTTTTGGAGGAGGCATGAATTAATGCAAACACGTCAGGTGTGAAGAGCACAAACGTGCCGGAGCAGAAAGGCAGTCACGTTTCGAATGATAAAATGACTGCAGGAGTGTGAGGAGTTTTTCCTTTCCACTGTCGCCTTCGTGCTTGCTCAAGATGAGTTCTGCGTTGGAGTTAAATTCAAAGCAGTCTGCTCCTCAGATAAATTGTATTAAATTATTATTTTATATACGAATGTTTCTGTTCAGTGCCCTGAGACGACTTCTGTTGTGACTTGGCGCTGTATAAATAAATAAACTGAATCGAACTGAATTGAATTGAAACTAATGCAGTTTATATTTATATTTCATATTTGTTAGGCTGCTTGTGTAATACATGTGATGCAGGTACTTTAGTGAAATTGTAGGCATTAAAATGCTCAAACTTCACGAAGCCTAATATGAGTCTTCATCCAGCCAAACTTTCATGCCAGAGTTTAAAATTTAACTTGTCCAGTGCTGAGAAGTGATGAATTTATGGATGTAAATGACATCAAGCACGATCAAGGCATTTAGATGTGTGAGCTCTCAGAGTTTGTGTCTGGTGTGATTCTCAGATACTACCACATCACAGTTTAGCTCATCATCTGTAAAACTGGCTTTTTACAGCCACGTTTGTGTTTGTAAAGGTTACTAAGCTGTGACCGCCATCTTGACTGGGGTCAGCTCTAAAAGCTAATTATTTGTAGATGTTCATTCAATGATTCAACTATCTGAGAGTATCCATAAAATCTGCTCACTGGCTTGTGAGATATTTTGCTAACACTACAAACAAACCATCAGACACACATGAATGCCTGTCACCTTTGTTGCAGTTCAAGTGTTTTAAATCAGGTTTGTAAATTTATTCCTTTCACACATCAGATTAGCAGGTTTTCAGATCACTGTTTACACAATTAATTCAATAATTCTGCAACTAAAAATCAAATGTTTTAGGCACCATTGTTAATAAAAGGTGGAATGGCTCAAATCCATAAAAAGGCATTTATTTAAGTCTTTTTGATTTGACGCCAGCTCAGATGGAAACACTGGGCCAGAGGAGTCCTCTGTGCCAGAAGCTTGACGCTGACTTGATTTTCCCCAGATGGATCGGGACACAAAGTTTCTATTTGTCCTGCGTCAGATTTCAAATTAACATTCCTGAAGGAGCTTTTGCAGCTCATCCACGCTGATGCTGTGGACTGATGGGAAACAGGGGAGGCAGACAGGACTACCCACATCCTCCAGGTCGACCTCACATCTGGGACCAGGCAGTGATGAAGACCCTCTGAAACCCTCTGCCTGGCCCACTCCTCTTGTCATTAGCTTAATTTGTCTCAGTTCAGGCCCGCGAGCACAGTCAGGCAAGACCTTGTTATTAGTGGATGCTTGCAGAGCTTCTCGACAGCCGCTGAACAGTAATTAAAAATTATAAACCTTTTAGAAAGTTAAATAATCTGAAGTTAAAGTGATACTTCAGATATTTTGAAGTGGGGTTCTTTGAAAAGGTTATGAACATTTAATATCTTACCTGTTGTAGATATGTGGGAACAAGACCTCAACTGGAGAAACAGAGTTTAATTTAATATTATCACCATTATTTATATAGAATTCTATCAGTATTTGTGGCCTGGGCCCATTTCTACTGGAATAATCATATGTACAACTGTCAACAGTATAAGAGTTTATAAATTATTATATTTTATTTGGTTTTGTCCTCACTGGGACGAATTATTATCCTGTCAGTCCTGTCAGACTTAAGTGTTTGTTTTCCACAAAGCTGAGGCTCTTCAAAGAACTATCTGCAACAGGTAAGATAGTGTTTGTTCATAACTTTCCCACAGAACTTCACTTCAGAAAATCTGAACCATCATTTTTTACAGTGTAATTTGCTCAGACGTTTGAGAAATTAATATGTATTTAGATTCAATTCCCTTCTTCTGTTTTTAATTATGTTTCATTTCTTCATTTATCATAATTTTGTCAGGGTAAAAGATTGCAAGAAATTAAAAAAAAATAAAATAAAATCATGTCCAAAATATGTTTTTTTTTTCCAGAGCCATGACATATTATTGTCCTGACTCTATAATATTGTGCTTACTTTTACATATTTATATCTTTTTGGTTAATGTTCAGTTTGAAAAATCTCAATCTGGCCACGAAATCCTAGATGACCCATAGATATGTTGTTAATTACCTGTTGCTTATCTTGGGAAACATACCGAGCTCAGAGACATTCCCTGATTTATTGACGTGTCCTTTATTGTTGTCCTGGGAGTCCCAGCGGTCCGAGTGTGGGAACCCCAGCCCGGCCTGAGCCACATGGCTTTGTTATGCTAATGAGGCAGTATAAAATGAGAAGCAGCTCCTCCAGAGACATCAGAGCTGACAGAGGCAGACATGCCCCCCTGTCCAAACGGCTTCTCCTCTGTGCACCACATAAGGATGGCAGAGAAAGACACCATCAAAGTGGGTGTAAAGATGTTTTTAAGACTTCTGTTATGTGTGATCTGTTATTTGTCTTACCCCTATGGCTTCTTTTCCACAGTTAAGAAAACCCATTGTGGAGAAAATGCGCAGGGATCGCATCAACAGCTGCATCGAGCAGCTCAAAGTCATCCTGGAGAAGGAGTTTCACAAGCAGGAGCCCAACTCCAAGCTGGAGAAAGCCGACATCCTGGAGATGACGGTGAGCTTCCTGAGGCAGCAGCTGCAGTCGGGCCTCTGTCACAGCTACTCTCGCTGCTGGAGGGACTCGGTGCATTTCCTGTCTGCACGCTCCAGCTCTGAGGTTGGTCCTCTGCAGCAGCAGGACCAGACTCTCCATCAGGCTCAGACAACCAGCAGCTCCTCCACCATCAGGACCACCACACAGCAGGACAGAAGTCCTGTCTGGAGGCCTTGGTAGAGACATGAACTTTGTGGGACCTGAAGGGACAGGTTAACTCCCTCACTGTGTAGGAATATATTTCCAGCCTGCTCTTTTAGTGTGGGTGTCCTTATTGTCTCATCACATTGATGGACACATAAAAGTGATGCGCTCAGCTTTGACTGATTGTTTTTGTTGTTGTTTTGTTTCTATTTCTGTTTAAAGCTGGAGATTCATCTTGAGTGATATAGTTTTGTCAGTTTATGTGATTGTTTACTCCAGTGGAGTTTATTTTGAAAGACACGTGTCTGTCATGCTGTAATTTACTAAAAAAACAATGTTGAGATTTTTTTCCTTCTCAATTTTTTATTTTTAATCAGTGCCAAATCTTATTATACAAATCTTTTCTTTGTGTTTCTGTGGAAATCAGTGAATGTGCTTTTTTTTAAAAAACTTTATATGTGGAAACTGATGATCGTCTTGTCGGTTTTAACTCTTTAAAGTCATTTTAAAAATGTTTGACAATTAACAAAAAATGACAAATAATATTAATTAAAAAAAACTCTGAGTTAACATTGTGAGGCTATAATTTAAATTTTCTTGATCTTAGAAATAAATAAATAAAATGCCACAACAATACACAATTTAAATATCACGTTATGTTAAAAATATGAAAAATATAAAAACGGGCTGTAAAATACACAGCAGCTCAGAGTACTTACATTTATATACTGTTTTATATTATACTTTTATATATTCTATTATATTATACATTCCGTGTGTTTATTGGTCTGTTTTTTTAGCAAAATATCTCATGAACTCCTGGACAGATTTAATGAAACTCAGAAAGAAACCATTGGATGTGCATGTCGACAACTGATTAGCTTTTGGAGTCAACATGATTCAAGATGGCCGCCACAGTTCAGTGACTTAAACAATAAAAAAAGGTTTTATCTCAGGCCGTCTTGCAGACCATCCATCCATCCATCCATTTTCTTTACCCGCTTCTTCCATTTTGGGTCACGGGGGTCGCTGGTGCCCATGTCCAGCAATCACTGTGCGAGGGGCGGGGTACACCCTGGACGGGTCGCAAGTCCATCACAGGGCCGTCTTGCAGACATTTAGTTAAAATTTGAGGCATTAGTAGCTGAGACTCAAAACTTCATTCTTTCTCATAAGAGAATTTCAGTTAAAAACTCTAGACGGCTCAGTTGGTAGAGCTGCTGCCTCTCAGCAAGAAGGTTGCTGGTTCAAATCTCGGCCCAGGACCTTTCTGCGTGGAGTTTGCACATTTTTTCCATGCATGTGTGGGTTTTCTCTGTGTACTCCAGTTTCCTCCCACATACCAAAAACATGCATGTTAGGTTGATTGGTAACTTGTCTCTAGGTGTGAGTGAGAGAGTGAATGGTTGTTTGTCTCGTTTGTCTCTATGTGTCCCTGAGATGGACTAGAGACACCTACATATAACTTTAAGCTGAAAGATTCAAAATAAATAATTTAGCGAGTGTCTAAGTTAATCATTTTTCTGCAGCCTTAAACCCTAAACTGTCTGGTTTCTAAAAACTAGAGTTGATTTTGTTTTAAATGTCTGTAAGTATCTTAAAACACCACCGAAACTTTTATTCCCCTTCAAACCTGCGGACACGTCAGCATAAGTCACAAAAAAGTCCAAACACTGGAAATCAGAACACTGACCACCTCCAGACATTGTACAGATGTTTTTTCTTCTTATTGCTGAAATAAAAATACAAGCTCTAAACTTCAACTAGCTGCACACGCTAATGTTTAAGCACCAACATTTTGTCATATTAAATAATCTAAGCAGAAACAAGTTTCTATTGTTCCCTGCATTTGTTTTTACACATTTTGCATGAGCTTGGATTTTATTCCTGATTAAGTCACCTTGCAATGAAGCACTTTGTGTAGTTATATTGTTTTATTTGGCTAACTATACATTACATACAAAATAAAAACACATTTACTTTAGCTGTATGTAGAGGAGAACAACACGCAACACAAACACATTTTTAATAATCTCACTGTGAGGTAATATATGTGCAAATACATTTCCAACACAGTCAAGAAATTAAAAAAAAAATCCCCTCAGATTAGGGATTCCACAAGAGTGCATCATGTTGGACACTTAACCTAACATGGTTCTCTGAGCCTCATGTAGCACCTGGTCCTGCTGCTGGAGACCCCTCAAACAGGGAGCAGGGACCCCCAGTTTAAGAGACTGCAAACCAAAAAAGTGATTCCATGACAGAAACAGCTTCACGTTCTTTCCCTGAAACTTCTGCAGGATGACTGTGAGCTGCTTTTGATCATTTCTTTTTGCACATTTCCTCTAGGACAGGTTGTCTATAAAGAGATCTGGAAGATAAAACAGTAAAATCTCCTGACATTTAAGCAACGAACACTCCTACACAAGCTGAAATAATTGTTAAAGGATCCCCTCTGGTGCCATCTCGTGATTTCCATCAGGTGGCTTCTTCAGGATGTCCTCTCTAATGTCCCTGGAGGAAATCTGCTGCTCATTTTATATTGTAGTAATATCACATTAAAGCCACAAGGCTCAGGTGGGCTGAGGCTAGAATCAGATCAGAGGTGAAGCATCTCCGGGTGGCAAGCAGAGATTAAACCGTTCTCATTAAAACCTGCAGAATGAGAGCGACGAGCCATTTGTCTCTTATCAGGAGCTGCTGCTTATCTCACGCTTCACTCTGCAGTCGCTCAGGGGAAAACAAGCTGAAGCTCCGGATAGTCCTCCAGGGAGTAATAAAACAGCTGGCTTCCAGAGGAAAGCTATTAATAAAATCATTATAGATCTGAAAAGTGTAATAACCCTCCACTGTCCGTGGCTACAACACTTTAATTAAAGCTAATTCAGGCTGAGCAACACTAAACTTCTTTAGATTTCTGTTAAATAAACAAAATATTTGACTCTACTGGTGTAATTTGTAACGGGTTTTAGGCAAATTAATGAGACTCCAAAACTAAAAGCTGATTTCTGAGGTTGCAAAATAACAAACAGAAAAAAAAGTATCTTTTTAGATTAGTTACCTGCAGGAAAACCTTGGATCTAAGATGGTTTCTGTGGAAATTTGCTGCAAAAAAGTCAGAGTCTTAAGATGTCTGCATTCAACACATTGAAGATGTTTCTAAATGAATTGTGAAAGCAGAAACCCAGAGCTCCTTGCTTTCTTTTCCTTTGTGCTGCCTCCAATAAAACTGCTGATTGTTCAGCCGTGGCACACTTCGATTGTTGACCGAGGGTGCATGGCTGCGAGCGGACAGACTGACTGTGGGAAAGCCAAGCTCGGACTCTACTCACACATCTACTGGTCAATAGTCCTGACCTCCCAGATACAAAGGGCCTTTTCATCTCTCCTTTCTAGCAACACACACACACACACACACACACACACACACACAGGTTCAGACCAATTATGTGTCTATTTGCGACCTTACGTCACGCTGCAGTTCTTAAACGTTTCAGTCACCAGCTGCCACTTGTCACCACAGTATATAACATGAATTGTTCATAACAAGCTTAAAAAAAAACTTTATAAGCAACAATTTGTCCTTTACAAATAATTATAAACCTGAAATGACAGAAATGTTTTGGGGCAGCTGTGGCTGAGTGGTTAGAGCAGCCATCCTCCAATGGGAGAACTGGGGGTTCAATTCCATCACATGCTGAAGTGTCCCTGGGCAAGACACTGAACCCTTCATTGCCTCCGGTGTATGTCCCATCGGTGTTTGAATGTGATAATAAAGCGCTGATTCATTTCTACTGATTCAAATTAGCTTTGTAGAGATCTACTAGAGTTCTGTAGGAATGGGTAAATGAGGGCACAGATTGTAGTGTAAAGAGTTTTGAGTATCTTGATAAGATAGAAATGTGCTATATAAGTGCAGTCCATTTACCATTTTGTTAATTATAATAAATAAATACTATCCTCATCTTGATTTTATAGATTTTGGGGAGATTGTAAATATGTTAGAGCTGCACGAGTGGATTTTTGTGAAGCACTGACCTGATGATTCTGAGTTTCAAATTGGCAAATCCCATATAAACTAAATAAAAAAGAAATAAAAATTGATTGGTCGGGTAATCCCTACTCATTATTCATAACTTTGTAATTAAAGCAAACAAAGTTTCAAACAACAAACACATCATTCTTCCCTGTAGGAAGCTAACTCATTTTCTTTTCTCTTATTTTATAAATATTTTCTGTCCCTTATTATTATTATAATGTTTTAAATGTAAACAATTTTATAATTAATGCCTAAAACTTAAAAAAACATATCATTCATTCTGTCACAGGTAAAACAGATTACAGGATCAGGAATCACATAACACCAAAATCATTCACGCCAACATCAAATCAACATTTTTCGGTCAGATGTGATGAAAAGTTAAATCAAACCACTCTCGTATGAGAACGCCTCTCACTCAGTCACTCTCTGTTCATGGTGTACATTTGAATGCAGTTCTGGAAATGAGCAGTGGTGTTCATTTGAGGCCTCAGGACAATAATGTACATTTTGGGCAGGAAGTACCCGGCGAGGAAGGCCAGAACGCTGAAGAGCGTGGCGAACACCTGCGCGGCCATGGTGAACGTTTCCCTGTTGATGAGGTAGAGGGTGAAGAAGCTGATCCAGGAGATCATGTACACCAAGAGGCTGAACGTCACACACTTGGCTTCGTTGTAGTTAGCCGGCAAGTCTTTACCCATGTAACTGAAAGAAAAGCAGAGGACACTGAGCAGAGAGACGTATGCAAGTTCAGCGCCCGAGCCCACGGAGAGGGTTTTGCTGCACTCTAACACTATCTTGTCAGGGTAGAAGTGAAGATCCTGGGAAGGCCGCGGCGTGTCCAAGGACACACGGACCACAGAAATGAGCAGGATGGTGGCCGACACCAGAAAGATGGTGATCTCAGGACCACTCTTTTTTATCCACCTCTCATAAGCTGGCGGCAGCTTGGATGAAAACTTGAAAATGCAAACCACCTGAAGGGCGCGCACGGCAATGCAGGCCAGGCACACGGAGAAGCTGATGGTGAAAAGAGGCTGCTTGAGGATGCAGGCCAGCGGAGTGGGCCGGCCGAAGTGGCACAAAGTGCTCAAGGCAGCGACTGTCAGGGCTGCCAGCATCAGGAGGCAGGTGCGGCCTCCGGCTGACTTGGCCACCGGTGTGTTCAGGTTGAGCAGAAGGATGACGGCGGTGCTGGAGGTCAGGAGAAGGCAGGAGCCCAGAAAGAAGAGCAGGGCAGTGGAGAGGGGGTTGTCCCAGTCCAGCAGCAGCACGGTCCTGTTCAGACACTCGTCACTGGTTGGGGGGGCCCACTGCTCCGGGAGACACGGCTGGCATTCTGTTGGTTCTAAACAAAACAAACAGAAATGAGAGTCTCTTGTAGAAAAACAGAAATATTCTGAGTTAAATGGTTCATATCTGCCCAATATTTAGTAAAACAGAAGCATTTGTAGTATTCATTAATATGTAGAAGAAAAAAATTTCTCTCCAGTGATAAGTTTGAGGAAATGAGGAAACAGAGTGTGGGTATTCTGGACTGCCTGCTGGTCATCTTCACACACAACCGTAGGGTTAGGCTGTAATTCTAGGGTCAGATGAGGAAGTAGTAACTAAGGAGGACAAATAAACTTCCCTCTAAAACTTGCCATGATAATTGCTGATTGATGTTTTTTTCTTTTATATAAAAATTGGATATTTTAATCTTATGCCCTAATTGCTGATTATCTATGCTGCTGTATTCATTAATATCCATCTGCTCACCACAGACCATAGTAGTGTTTAGCATATATCTTAGACATTTTAACGTACCGTTTGGTGTTCGTTTAGCGTATTTCTTAGTGTATATCTTAGATCCTTATGTATTGATTCTTTTTATACTTTATATTTTTGCGATTTTTGGGTGTAACTGGGACCCTGAGTACACAATTTTGTTCCACTTCATGTACCACATGTGATGTAAATTACAATAAACTTGAACTTGAACTTGAACTAATGAACGTGTGAGAAGGTTGAGTCAGGTCCTCTGGACGGGTTCTTCTTTGTTGAAACGTTTCATCTTTTATCTAAAAGTCTTCTGAAACAGTCTTCTGGATAAATTAGATTTATCTGCCTGGATTATTGAGCAAGCATCAGGACATAATTAATGTGCATTTTCAAAAAACATTTGAAAAATTAGTTCTATGTTTGTTAGAATATTTAACGTTAATGAAAGCTGAGATATATTTTCCTGATAAATGTATATAATTACTCTCAACAACCTATTAAAACTATTCTTATTGTGTCATGTGGTCTAGAATGCGATAAAGATTCTTTAAATGATAAACTGGACTAAAAACATAAAGATTTTGGCTAAAATTTAGAGCAAAATGCATTTTTAAAAGGTTAAAAAAGAAGATAAATTTATAAAAATTTATCTTTTTTTGGAATTATGCCACCTGCTAAAAGTCATTAAATCATATTTATTACAAGTGGTTTAAAACTTCAATCATGCAAGTTATTTATTGGACTCTTAAAATTTGTGCTAACTTTAAAGTGTCCAATAAACACATTGTGTCTAAAAATACATTTAATTTATATCTTGAACATTTTTTTCTCCATTTGTTTAAAACTCTTGCTTTAGCTATGTTCTGCTTACAAATTTGCAGAAAAGCTAAAGATAAAAAAAAAAAAGATATTAAATCTATCTTCTGATCTGAATGACTGATTTTTGGTTTTAATTTTTGCAGTCTTCCAGCACCTTCAGCCCTTCCTGCCATCTAATTTTTCCCCATTGTTTTTCTACACAAACATGTCTGTTCCACACTGGTGCTGATATCCACAATTCTCATTTTAAAATTGAGATAACAGACGAGATTTTCAGTTAAATAATCTGCCCAAATCTCTCTTTCTCAGGCAAACATCACATCTGAATTATACGGATTGCTTTCTGTTTTTGTTTGAATATTTCTAAAGTTTCCTCTTTATGCCATCATCGTTTACCACTTTTATTGAGGAATGTGGCAGAAGGACAGGGCTGGCAGTCGAAGCAGCATGCATGTTGCCCCGTCAGCAGCTTCTTGTAGCCTTCTGGGCACGGTGGAGAGCAGAAGGACTCGGGCACCTCCCTCTGGACAGAGTTACAATAAATGACTTTGTAAGGATTGATTTTTTTCTGTCAGCAATAAAGGGTGATATTCTGTTGGTCTCACTGATGAGTTCTCTTTGCCGTGCCACTCAATCAGCTCAGGATCCACCGTGAGGGTGATGGGGTCTGGTGTGAAGGTGCCCACCACTCGGAGAGACCACTCCGTCCCCCTCCAAATCCAAGACACAATATCATATCCTGTAGGAGGGTCGCCGTTCACGTCAAAGTACACAGAGGAGTTGTAGAGAGAAAATCGAACCTGACTGAGCAAGGGCAGAAGCTGACATGGAGCGGAAGAAAGAAAAAGACAAAAGGAAGGAAATGAATAACAGGGGGGCGGCTCACCCAAACCAAAAGATTTAACAGCATTTCAGGAGTTTTTATGCTGTGGTCATAAAAAAGCTGTTTGAAAAAAATCCTGTGGTGTGTGACTTAGGGAGTCAACTTCTGATTTATGCATATTTGAATTCCTTGTTTTAACTTTAAATATCTAATTGAGAACAGCACGGTCAGTACTCTACTCAGTGATTCTTCTTCTTTCTCTTAAAGCCATGTTTATAAATAACATCAGCATTCTTTGAAGAAATGTACATCGCATTATATGCAAACATCTTGTGCATTTAAACTTTTAGCATTTATGGTATGTGATGGGATAACTCTCAGTTACTACAACACAGAGTTTTATCTTAACTTGTGCAAAACTGAACAAGTTACATCTATTTTATGTTGACTAAAGTCAATTAATTGTGGCAGCAATCTTCAAAAGATGTTGAGAACTTCTCGATTGTCTGGGAATTTCATTGATATTCATCAGTTGTTTATAAAATATTTTGCTAATAAGTTATGTATTTAAGAGTGTGAGCAGAAATCGATCCCTACTAAAACACCATTTTACCTCGTATGGATGCACACTTCTCTTGTTGCACCCTCCAGCATCGCAGCCAAGTGTTTCATGCAGAGCATGAGCCAGAGCATACACTGCCTTATAAACATTGAAGGAGGAGGTGGTGTCGTATTCATCCATGGTGAAGTTATTTAAGGCCAAGCTGTATAAGTCTGTGCTCTGCAGACAGTTGCTGCCACTGCTGATGGAAACACTGGAGTTGTTGATGTGTTGCGCTGAAGCATCGACAGCCTTTCTTTCAAAATCCTTAAACCCAGGAATGGCTGCAGCCTTGACTGCCACTCCGATCACAGTGCCGATGGTTTGAATACCAGGAATCTGAGATATGAGAGTCGACGGTGACCAATCCTCTGTCCCAATCCACACCTTATCTGTGATGTTTCTCTCCAGAACAAATGGGAGGAAGTCGTGGAATTTTGTCTTGCTGGAAAACACAACAATAGTGTTCACTTTTGTTTTCAGTATGTTATCCACCATGTTCCTCATGGTCTTAACTGTGTCCTCAGTGGCTGTAGGGATGATTCCCTGGTAGGGGATGCAGATGCCATGATGTGGCGCTTGCTCCGACAGGCTCTGCATGCCCTGCAGGCCATAATCATTGTCACTGCCCAAGAGGGCAATCCACATCCAGTTGAACTGAACCAGGAGCTGGATCATGGCTGCCACCTGGTTCTTGTCACTGGGAATGGTGCGAAAGAACGCTGGATAGAGGAGCTTGTTGCTCAGCATTTCATTTGATGCCTCATAAGAAATCTACAGAGGATTCAAACAATAAGTTTGGGTTCAGTTGTAAAGAATAATGATGATGTCAAATACAGGATAGAAGTTTTATTGTTTTACACACAAAACCAACTTTATGAATGAACATAAAAATAAGGAGGGAAAGATCCATTCAAATCTAGCTTATTTAATTTTTTCAAAATATATTAACCATCATTATGTTCTCTCATGCCAACATTTGCCTGTTCAAGTCAACCCATCATGTGCTGCGTTTATTTTATTTTATTTATTCGTGTGTGAACTCTTGCCTGTGGAATCAGATATGCCCCCAGTAAAGCAGCAGGGGTAAAAGTCTTGCTGCTGCTGTCCGGCCCGATCACACCCACTGCTTTTTGAATGCTGCTGGAGTTTAGTTGCTGCTGTTCCAGTAGGTCCAGTGTGGCCAAGACGCTGGCCGGGTCAGTACAGATGTCATACATCTGGTAGCCCAGCTTCACTCCCGGTAAAAGAGGCTGTGGACCTGTGTCGTTGTTGATTTCTTCCACAGCAAATCTCATGGCTTGCATCAAATGAAACGCATGTTTGTTGGATCTGCCTCTGGAAAAAAGCACCATAACTGTTTTAACTGTTTGACTTAAAAAGTAGACTTCCACAGACGTGCACTTACTGATCACATGGACCCAAAGCAGGCCGGTCGTTAGTCAGAACCTCAGTGTAGTGAAGAGGAAACAGTCCGGCAAAGGAGTAGTCACCCTGCAGCTGCGTGCCCTCTCCCTGAGAGGTATAATCTAGTTCCCCAGCAGCTGGTTGCAGCATCAGCCAGCAGAGGAAGAGAAACACAGAACCAAGCATGCTCAGACCTTAAAGATCAGTGTGGGCTTAAAGAATGGAGCAGACTTTTTATAAGAGTTTCATCTGACAGGTTGAAGGTTTTGCATCTTCCAGGGGAAGGCTGATTCAAAGAAGCTTCTTTGCATATTGAGTTTGTTTGTGTGAATGTTTCCCCCTCATGCAAATAAGCTGCATAAATGTTAAAAGCTGCAAAATAATTAATATCTTGACAAATGATTCACATGCTTAAATAAAGAGCTTGTGGCTCATTACTGTCATTTGGGTTTTATTGGAAACAAAATGTATATTTCAATTTACAGAAAATATCAGTTTATTATGAAAATAGAGACTGAGGATTTAAAATAAAAATGTTTTGCTTCCTGTAGATGAAAAACTTAAAATTTTAGAATATTTTATTTGCTTCTTTGCCAGATTCTGATACTCCTCAGATTTTTTTACATTTTCTTTTTACTCTATAGAAATGGTTCATTCCTAGGCAGAAGTCACATTTAAGCATCACATCTTAACAATAAGAACATGCATGGGTTTAATAATAATAAAAAAAAGTAAATTGTAAATATTAGATTTGGAGACATATGACATGAGAAACACCAGATTATATATTTTTTTAACCTAAAATATTTCAGTTAATTAAGGGAAAAAAACTCAGTATCTTAATTGAGGGAATTTTTATCAGAAAAGACTAAAATCTTATTAGAAACATTAGGCTTTATTTAAACATTTTTATAATATTGACTTTTATGGTGACATTTCAAGTTTTACATACAAACATGCTCACAATACATTTATGAGATAAAAAATAATACACAAAAATATAAGCAGAAAATTGAAATTCCTAATATTTTATTTCACTTTAAATCTGTAAAATGAAATAAAACATTCTAATGCATGCAGACTTTGTAAGTTTTATGTGTTTGTTAGTGACTCAATTTAGTTAAAAACTCCCCTGTGTGATGAAAATATATGCTTTTAACACCAACTGTTCAATAAATATATACATTTTCATTTGCATGCTGGTTCTTATTTATCAGACCTTTTTGTCCTACTTTGCTGCTGTCTTTTATGTCTGCTGTCAGTGTTGTTGATTTAAATATATAGTTTTCTGTTTTTAATTTCAGGCATCGAAGCAACAGTTGAAAAATAGCTCATTAGTTAAAACTGGCAAAATCAATGTTAACTAATTTTCTTTGCTGTGTGAAAATACATTGATATATTTAGGAAAACAATTAATAGAAAAAGTAAATAAAATACATAATTTTGTTTTAAAATAAGTAGTAAAACGTGATACCATTGAGAATAAAATTGTGCAAATGTGCATAAATGTTGTACAAAGTATAAGATCCATATCAAAGCTGTTTAAAGTGATTCATTTTATTAGTTTACCGCGCTGTAAGAACTGACAACCCTTTCCAGTTGCGTTTATTAAACACTTTTCAATAAAATTTCAATATGAAGACATTTTGCATGGGTGAGTCTTTGTTTACCTTTTGGTTGATATTTGAGCATCAAAATAAAAACACACCTTTTGCCCAGACGTACAATTTGCCTGATAATTACCAGCATCCGCTTTCCAAACCCATTGTTTTGACTGGAATAGTGTGCATTTTGTCAGCCACAATATCATGGAAGCAAATGACCATGAAAATGAGTTTGTTTGTATAAAGACATAAATTGAGGTCACAGGAAACAGCTGAAGGATATTTTACAGAAGAAAACAATAAAATGGAGCAACTATCTTGAATTATTTCTTCCTTAAATCTGAATAAAACTCATCATGTCAAAAACACACTGATTATTTCAAAAGAAATACAAAAAATGTTTAGTTTGACTGTCTTCTTTTAGTCCTTCTTCTGTATACAACTATAAATATTGCAGTTTCACTTATTTTTTATTTATTTTCATATTTATTATAAGTCAGTATGTAAATCTCACAACCAAAAAGCATTAACTGAATAATCAATGCTACACAGCACATGTTTTAGTTCATCAATGTAAAATGCTGACTATTATATACTATCTGTTTAAAGAAATTTTCATATTTACACACTTTTAGTAATGTCACAGAAATTGTTGCAGTTAGATGGACTGTACCATGTCTATAAAAAGGAATAAAACATAAATATATTTAAAAATAAATATATTTTAAACTAACAAACCTATCAGCTTTAGGCCTCCTGCTGGATGTGTAGGTTAATTTACCAAACAAGATGTGCATTCAGACAGTGTTAACAAGAATAAATCTATTTCTCAAAATGTAGACACAAGTTGCAACAATGACAATTAATGTCATATAGAGGTTCCAAATGTTTTAACTTCAGACTCACAATATATAAGTAACTGAGGTTTGTGACCCATACTTCCTGTTTAAGTACACATTTGTTGTTAAACATAAACATAATAACAAAAAAAATCTTATTATGGAACAATTTTAACTCATTAATTGAAACAATTATGATTTGATTTCCTTGAGGTATTTTTTGTTCCTATTGTTTTCATTTTAATTTGACTAAATTGTAAAGCACTTTGGGCAGCTTTTGTTGTTTTTATGTGCTATATAAATATGTCAACATCAAAATTGTGGGTGGGGTAGGTGAAACACCCACACTTGCCCCCACCCTCATTCGTCCCACTCTGGGCCCATGAGCAAGGCCCTTAACCCCCACCATGTGCTCCCTAAAACAGGTCTCTCTTGCAAATGAGTTCTCGTGGCTCAATGAGACTAACCTGGATAAATAAAGGCTAAATGAAAAAAAAATATATATATATATATAAATAAATTGACATTGTCATTGACCCTGAGGTGGTATTTCATCACCCACAGTGGAGTCCTGACTGAGCATCTTTGGGAACCACTGATAGATAAAAATATTTGAGCCTAACTTTATGCACAGATAACAGTGAAAAACAAACTGAATAAATACTTCAATATCAAGAAAAAGCTTTCCATGAAACGTTTGCATGGTAGGGTCGTGGTCGAACCTACAGAATTTTGTTGAGACGTGTCGCCATTTCGGCTTACGTCACTTCTCTGCGACGCACATGGTGGGGTGAAATTGAAAGCTGCCATATTTTGAGACATATTTTTCCCTCTAAGTTTTGGTGAGCCATATCAGTTTGTAAGTTTAACCGTTCGTCTTTTTGCTGTTATCTTTCTTAAGCTTGAATCTAAGATTTATTCGAGATAAACACTTTCAACGTTTGGGTTTATTTTTCATCAGGTTAAACTGCGGAGAAGCTCAAGGCTGCGCTGCCGAGATGGCTGTTTAGCTCGGCTAGCTAGCGTTAGCTGGTGGTGTAAACAAACACCAGTCTGCAGAGAAACAACTGCTACATCTTTCATGGTTTGTTCAGAAGATCGGGTCAACATCTCATTTTGTTAGGAACTATATAACTTTACAAACCACTTTATTTGGCAGCAAAAAGCCGACTTAAGCCGCATGTCTGCGAGTTTAGCGACTTGACTTGAGTTTTGATGACGGTGCGAGTTTGTCCAAAATAGCTCGGAGCTTAGTTGCTTTGGAGCAGGTCGGAGTCCGCTGTAGTGGAAGCAGACACACCAGAACCGGTCGGCATGTCGTCCTTCTCCGAGTCTGCCCTGGAAAAGAAGCTGTCCGAGCTGAGCAGCTCGCAGCAGAGCGTCCAGACCCTGTCTCTGTGGATTATCCACCACCGCAAACACTCGGGCCTCATCGTCAAAGTGTGGCACCGAGAGCTCAAGAAAGGTGAGATGTAACACGTATGTTATACACTTTTGGGCAAGCAACATTCTCTTTGTGCACGAAAATGCAATTTTGTATTGTAAAAGGAACAAGAAGCATTCACTACTGCTGCACATGACATGGGTTTATCAGCTGTTCTGTGGCGGGCAGCCGGTGGGGCGGAGCCTCGCTTCAAAAACCTTTCGCCCCACAAAGTAGTTCCTCAATAAATTATGTAAATTACTTACTGAGCTTGCTGTACATTGATTTATTCTGTGTATTTTCAACTATTTTGTCAAATTTAAGTGGAATTTAATATAACTCAATCTCTAATAAATCTTACGTTTGAATAATTTTATCTTTACAAAAATAAACTAAATATCACACATATCTTTATCATTTTAAATGAATCTCATTGTATCACCTATGAGCTCAAAACTATATAGTTACATTTGTTATCCATTGTAAACTGCGTTTAGGCTCCAACGGTCAGCTAGTTTTTGTGCCATCTGTTCATTTAGATGTGCAGATCAAACCTAGCTCATGTAGATGCCCACACTTAATTTATGATAGTGAATACGATGCTAAAGCAAGCGAGTGTGCTAAAATCGGACGGAAGAAAATGTATTATGTTTTCTGTGATATTATCACATAACATGCTTTCCTGGTTATTTAAAAAGAAGAGAAGGCCTTTCATCCATTTCTATTGGTCTCAAAAACCTCCATTGTGACTACGGCTCCAAGCACTAAACATGCTGCAAAATGTAGTAAATTAAATGCAAACACACTGGTTCTGTAATATAAACACATTTTCAAGATAACATTTATTCAGCAGATAAATATAGCAATGTGACATGTTGATTTATGATTGCTTAAATGTCTTTCTTGATGTGTTTTCTAGCTAAAAGCAACAGGAAGTTGACGTTCCTGTATCTGGCTAATGATGTCATCCAGAACAGCAAGAAGAAAGGACCAGAGTTCACCAAAGACTTTGAGTCTGTCCTTGTAGATGCCTGTTCTCATGTAGCCAGGTAGATTTAAATGTCTCTACTATAAATGCTCAAACACCTACAAACTGATTTATGAAATATGTATTTGAGAGTGAAAGTAAGTCAGATGTGTTTATTTATATAAACTATTTATTGATGTCAATATTGATCCATTCAGATCAATTTTTAATTGTTAAAGCTGTCAAATCATTAAAATTTTTGATTGCAGTAAATTCCTCAACTCTATGCAGATATTTAAAATTACTTGCAATTTTTTATTTATTTTTGTTTAAATTTTACCAATTTAGTAGATTTTTATATGCAGTGAATTTAGCCTTTTTTAAATGCACCACCTTTCATGCCAAAGTTTTAAAACAATGATCTTGCATGATCAATATGAGCGCAATGTCCATGAAATAACCCTCAATTACTAACACACCAAATTTAACTTAATATCTATAAAATTGACTGAGTTATCGCCATATTTGTTTTTACTAAGGTCAATTGGTTGTGGTGGCCATTTTGAATCAGGTTCACTCCACATGGTAGTTGTAGATGTACACCTAGTAATTACTTTTTAATCTACACACTGGTTCCTGTGATATTTTGCTAATGGACATTAAAATGGACACAAAACGAATCACATGAACACCCACTTGTCATGGTGAGTTTGATAAATAAGTCTCTTGAAAACAACTTGTTTTTGAAGCTATCCTTGTTGTTACATTGTTATCCATTTCTAAAACAAAAAAACGTCTGCACAAAATAAATAAAACTGAAAGATGCATGCCAGCAGAGGCGATTAGAATAATCCTAATCAGTGCTTTGAATTACTCATAGAGATGGACTCAAATGATGGAAAGTTTTGATTATACTGACATTTGTTCTGTCCACACTCGGCTTGTGTTTCACTCCAGTGAAACGGATGACGGCTGTAAAAAGCAAATGGAGAGGCTGCTAAACATCTGGAAGGAACGAAGCCTTTACAGAGGTGACTTTATTCAGCAGCTCAAACTGGCCATAGAAGACTCAAACAGCCCCAGGCCCTCAGGTTAGACAACTGATGCACACACAATCTAGTTACATGTTCATTTATCATTTTATTAAAGGTCTTATTTACAAGCAGAGTAAAATCAAACAAAACTGTTCACCCTACCTGCTGATGTAGTTTTAGACAACATGTTTCTTCTGCGAAGTATTTCTCTTTACTTAGTTGCAACACTACCTATCACCTATATTTGTCATCAGCAGGCTGAGTTATAGAATTGTGTACAATTTCTCATATTCGTTGCTAACCACGTGATTGCTTTTCTTTCTTTGAGGGCTTACTGTTAAATGCAGCAACATGTAGATCACACTGTGATTCCTTTCTGTTATGGAGGGAAGAAGTGTTTTATTATTCCTTCATCGTGCTTTGTAATATGTATAACATGATGTTTTTCTGTTGTCTCCAAACCCGACTATGCAGAAGACAAGAAGGCTATAAAACGAAGCTATCAGAAGATTCAAGAAGATGAATATGATGAGGACGATGACTACAGAAGCCACGCATCTCCTCACAGCACAGAGGCTTCTGCAAACCAGCTGGTAAGAATGCTCTCATTAGGGCGCTAAAACATTTTGCTTTAAAAGATTATGTTGATGAAATGATTGCTGGTTGATATGTTTTTATAAAATACAACACCCTCCTTAGCCCTCTCTGAGTGGGAATCCATTAAAGACCCTAATTTATAGGGTCCATCATCAAAAAGGATTTTCTTGACCATCTACTTAGTATTTCAGTTCTCTAGCAGTGGCTCAGATTAATTTTTTTATGGCATTAGAAGAATTACCTCTTGACAATTGCTGCTCTGAACCCACTGAGCTATTATTTATGGAACTGAAGTTTGTGGTTAAAACTGATTAAATTAGTTTGACACTCTTTGGTCCTCCTTCAAAGCGCCTCAAGCAGCGACTTGTCCTTTTTAAATTATCATTTAAAACTGTACATGGGGTTTATTTGTTATCTGCGAGGAAAGTCACATTTGAAGTTGATGTACAACTGCTGAGTTTTTTTCTACCTGCCTCAACTTTAGTCTTTTCCTTTTTGTAAATGTCTGCGGTCATTGTTTCCCCACCTATTAATTTTCTGTTTTAACTAAATCGTGACACCTTCAGACGGAGGAGCTGGTGAAAGCCCTGCAGGACCTGGAGAACGCAGCGTCAGGTGATGCAGCTGTTCGTCAGAAGATCGCCTCGCTGCCGCAGGAAGTCCAGGATGTTTCCCTGCTGGAGAAGATCACAGGTAAGAGAGACCGCTCAGATTAGTTACACCTTTATGTTAGTTATTTTATGCAGCCCTCTTTGAGCTAATGCTATTTCCCCTACTTAACACAAAAATGTGATTGAATTCAAAACACTTTTTACATCGGGGGAAAAACTTCCCTTTTATTCTTTTGAATTCTTGAAGATTGTCAAAAGTTAAAATACAAAATGCACTGGAAAACATAAAAAGTAAGCACTGAAACAGTTGCTTAAATTAAAATATAAACCTTTTTTTTACCAGATGAGCCCAGGTAAATAACTTGATTCATTACTGCCACCTGCTGGGAAAGCTCACTTGTTAAAACAATAATTGTATAAAATATTCACTCTTTTAACGACTTCCCAAAACTGTCAAGAAAAATATAACCCATCCCTAATATCTTATACATGATGTAAAATGAACACAATGCACAATATTCAACTGACTCCTTTTTTAACTCAACCAATAATAAACTAAATATATATATGTTTTAAACCTAGACAAAGAGGCTGCAGACAAACTGTCAAAAACTGTGGATGAAGCCTGTTTGCTGCTGGCTGAGTATAACGGGCGTCTGGCAGCAGAGCTGGAGGACCGCAGGCAGCTGGCTCGTATGCTGACTGAATACATCGGCAGCCAGAAGGAGGCGCTCGCAGAAAGGGAGAAGAAACTGGATGTAAGACAAACAGCTTACCATGAATTATGGATTATTCATTCCTGTCTGGGTCTATGTGCTGGTTTATGTAATACAGATCTAACACACATTTCCTGCCTGCACCTATTTTCAACTCTCAGGAGTCAAAATATTTGTCAGTAATTATGAGTAAATGCAGCTTTTATCTGAGCGTTATTCTGGTGTTTTCTGCAGGAGTACAAGCAGAAACTGGCGAGAGTGACTCATGTAAGAAAAGAGCTCAAGTCCCACATCCAGAGTCTCCCGGATCTGTCCCTTCTGCCCAACGTTACCGGAGGTCTGGCCCCTCTTCCATCTGCGGGAGACCTCTTCTCCACTGACTGACAGCTAACAGTCCAACCAAACTACTGCTGTGCCCCTCCCCAGCCAAACTCAGTCCTGTTTTATTAGCAAAGATGCTTCCTGCAGTGTCTGCAGCCAGAAAGCACATGTGGTCAAACGTGTCGCAGAAGAGAAGCTAACTCAAACTCAAAGAGGAAGATGGAAGAGACTTGAATAATAAGGCTTGGTGAAATCTGAATAATCTGCAGGGAGAACGGACTCTTTCAGACTGCACTGATCCCCAAGATTCTACTCCACCAGCCTGGAAGTTTGTTTCCTGATTGTTTTTATTTTTGTTTTAAATGCTGGAATTGGTGTTTGAATAAAAGCGACCTCCTCTGTGATACATCTTTCAATTCAATAAGCAAAGGTGGGCTGGTGGTTGTGGCTGCACTGTGAAAAAAAAAATACCATTTAGTTAATTTTTGTGGAAGAGGGAATTTGAACGTAGTTGCTTATTCATACTGGTTCACATTGATGTTTTACTGAGTACAGTCATGGAAAAGATCACACTGGGTTCATCCTATGATGTTTTTAGTTTGTTTTGTTGGCTGTTACACCACACAAATCAGAAATTCACTCAGTCGTCTAAATTAACTGGATTTATGGGACAACAACATGTGGGAAAATACTTTGGAGTCGATGCTCTGTGTGCAGCGTGAACCAATTTTCATGCTTTAGTTTCAACAAATTCTTGACGTGAGAAGCTGATAATGTTTTGTGTTTTGAATTTTGAAAAACCCAATCAGACCATTTAAGAAAAGGTTTTCTTTCTAAGAAATTGTTAGGCTCTATCTAGGAAAAGTAACATTTGACAAGTGACTGAGGTCAGTATTTTGTTTGTTGGCCTGAGATATGAAGCAAAGAAAAACCAAAGAATGTTTTTTTTTTTAATTTTACTACAATTTGACTTAAACAAATCAGGACAGGTTTTCAAAAGAGCAAGGTCAACTTTTAATTTATATTTTCATGTATTAAGACAAATGTGCACATCATTTCACTGTATGTCCCTAATGATCAATAATAACAAAACTATCTGTCCTACTTGTTTACCAGTTTGCATGTTTAAATTAATTTCCTTTAATCTTGTTTTTTTTTGGTTATAGAAAAATAATTCACATGACAATTCCAGTATTTTAGAAATTTAGTTCAGATGACTAATCCTTAGTTATTCAGTTTGAGATGATTTTCTGGACTCTGTTTAGATGATTTTTGATTTTCTGTCCACAGACAGGAAAAATGCATTTATTGACAAAGTGCTATAACATTTTATCACAGTAATTTTTGTGTTTGTAAACACTGATGTCTTCTGCCTGGTTGAAAACATATTTAAAATAAGTTGAAGATGGACAACTCCAGTTTTTGTCAAATTAAGAGATTCAGTTGAAGTGTGATAGCTGAAAAACAAATGTTTGACTTTTATAACGATCCCCAGTGAACTGTACACCAGGAAGAATTCTGTAAACAAGTTAATCAATGAGCTCACCTGTTGATAGTATTTAGATATTTTCTTACCCACCTGCTGTTTGGTATGTGCTTCTCTTTTTAGAGCAGTGCTGTACGAGCAGGACGCTACTCGTAGTGTTTCTTTTATAAAAGTGATTTCAGTGGATGCCAATAAACTGGAACCATTTAAACAAATGCTATGATTTCAGCAAGTCAATGTGGCAATGTTGTTGGTGCCAGTCACGCTGTTCTGAGTGTTGCAGGAACTGCTGAGCTGTGATTTTTCACCTACAACCATCTATAGGGTTTACAGAGAATGGACACGGGGGGTCCAGAGAGCAGCAATTTGTACGGACAAAAATATATTGCTGTCAGAGAATTAGCTATATTCAGAGTAATTATTAAACTACAACAGTATAAAAATACACAAGAATTAGAACTAGAGAATATTATATAATAATAATATGGTAATAATAATGGTAATTATAATGGAATAATATGGTAATACAGTACAGGTGCTGGTCATAAAATTAGAACATCATGAAAAAGTTTATTTATTTCAGTAATTTCATTCAAAAAGTGAAACATTTTGAAATTTCTTTTAATGATGATTATAACTGACAACTAATGGAAAAACCCAAATTCAGGATCTCAGAAAATTAGAATATCACTTAAGACCAATTAAAACAAGGATTTTTAGAAATGTTGGTCAAATAAAAAGTATGAGCATGTACAGCACTCAATACTTAGTTGTTGCTCCTTTTGCCTGGATTACTGCAGAAATGCAGCGTGGCATGGAGTTGATCAGTCTGTGGCACTGCTCAGGTGTTATGAGAGCCCAGGTTGCTCTGATAGTGGCCTTCAGCTCTTCTGAATTGTTGGGTCTGGTGTATCACATCTTCCTCTTCAAAATACACCATAGATTTTCTATGGGGTTAAGGTCAGGAGAGTTTGCTGGCCAATTAAGAACTGGGATAGTCGTTAAACCAGGTACTGGTAAATTTGGCACTGTGTGCAGGTGCCAAATTCTGTTGGAAAACGAAATCTGCATCTCCATAAATTTAGTCAGCATCAGGAAGCATGAAGTGATCTAAAACTTCCTGGTAGATGGCTGCATTGACCTTGGACCTCAGAAAACACAGTGGACCAATACCAGCAGATGACATGGCACCCAAAACCATCAGTGACTGTGGAAACTTGACACTGGACCTCAAGCAACGTGGGTTCTGTGCCTCTCCTCTCCTCCTCCCTGACTCTGGGACCTTGATTTCCAAAGGAAATGCAAAATTGACTTTCATCAGAGCACATAACTTTGGACCACTCAGCAGCAGTCCACTCCTTTTTGTCTTTAGCCCAGGTGAGATGCTTCTGACGCTGTCCCTTGTTCAAGAGTGGCTTGACACAAGGAATGTGACAGCTGAACCCCTTGTCTTGCATACTTCTGAGTGTGGTGGTTCTTGAAGCACTGACTCCAGCTGCAGTCCACTCTTTATGTGAATCTCTCCCACATTTTGGAATGGGTTTTGTTTCACAATCCTCTCCAGGGTGCGGTTATCCCTGTTGCTTGTACACTTTTTTCAATCGCATCATTTCCTTCCCTTTGCCTCTCTATTAATGTGCTTGGACACAGAGCTCTGTGAACAGCCAGCCTCTTTAACAATGACCTTTTGTGCCTTGCCTCCTTGTGCAAGGTGTCAATGGTCGTCTTTTGGACAACTGTCAAGTCAGCAGTCTTCCCCATGCTTGTGTAGCCTACAGAACTAGACTGAGAGACTGTTTAAAGGCCTTTGCAAAGTGTTTTGAGTTAATTAGCTGATCAGAGTGTGACACCAGGTGTCTTAACTATTGAACCTTTTCACAATATTCTAATTTTCTGAGATACCGAATTTGGTTTTTTTTGTTAGTTGTCAGTTATAATCATCAACATTAAAATAAATAAACATTTGAAATATATCAGTCTGTGTGTAATGAATGAATATAATATAAAAGTTTCACTTTTTGAATGGAATTACTGAAATAAATCAACTTTTTCATGATATTCTAATTCTATGACCAGCACCTGTATCTGGAGGTTGGAGAGGCCGTTCTTTTGAACACATCCCATTTTTCTCAAATAGCCTACTGTGTATTTAAACAGATCCAGTGTTAAAAACAGTCAAAAATATCAGAATTGAACCCATATGCAATATTTAATTTGAAAACAAACAGATTGTATCGTTACGGCTGTTTTTGAACATGACGTGGGACTGCAGGGATCACTTCTATCATAAAACATGATAGATGAAAAGCACCCTCAGAAGAAGCATTTTAACCATCTGCTTATGCTGCCATTCTCAAAATGAATAAAACAATTTTAAATAATAACAGTTTGACACATGAACAAAGTCCGTGCTCAATAATCCAGTTTGACACATGCAACTGAAATGAAAAAATAAAAATAAAAAATCCTATCTGGTAAATACCATATATAGGTAAAAATATGGAAACACTATGTTGTTTCATGTGTTTTATTCGTTTTAATCCCATGGGAATTTGGGACTCACTTTTGTTCACATTCAAATGACAAATTGCCCACATTTTAATGTATAAACAATTACCATGGCAACCACACACTTGTCTCTCATGTCCTGACAACACTCTTAATGGGACAGACAGAAACAGACTAAACTATCAAAGTAAACTTTAAACTAAGTCCCTGAGAGAACTACTGCATTCAAATAATTTCTGAACGGTTAGTGGTAGAGGTGTTCATCACACGTGAGTTTTTATGACTTACAGGGGTACAACTGTTTTCAAAAACAATAAAACATAAAATCAATTTTTTGCTCCACTGTTGTTACATTAGTGCAGAAGGGAAAAACATTGTAAACAGAGAAAAAGTATTTGTTTAAAAATAAATCTAGAGTAGTCTGAGTAGCAATAAGCACATTTGTGAAAATTATTATAAATCCAAAATGTGACAGAGTTGATCCGGTTTTCTAGAGTGAGTTGGTTCATGATCGCCGGAGTCCGAGTCTGCTGTTTGTTGCAGTCAGCCTCTTGCGTCGTCGTTTTAAAGACCATTCAGGAGGAAAATGTGTCAGCTGTGTTTCATGAACAGATCTTTTTTTATTCCACCATCAGCTCTTTCTTTCTTTCTTGCCAGATTTGTTTCCACCAGACGGATTGTAAACATCTACGAGTCTTTAGGAAACTATTTGAGCAGATAAGTTGTTTTTTTTCCGAGTTTTTCCAGATTTGTTTGTGTGTGCTTTGACTTTTGGACTGCTTTAGGCCTGTTTCTGTTCTCCTTGTGCTTGACACGAGTCTGTTTACCAAACCTCAAAACTTTTGGACTGTGAACTTTTGAATGTCTCAGGCTTCAGTCCTTTACCTTTTTACTATACTGTATTACAAAGATCAGAGCAAACACTAGATGGCAGGTTTGAAAGGAATAATAATTTAAAAAAACTTCATTGGTCAGATTTGTTTATGAATTTAGGGTAGGCAAGTATAAGCCTTGGCTTCAGCCTATTCCTTTTTTGGTACATTATTGATTTGTATGATATTAAAATGATATTTTATATTGTTTTCTTTTTTTGTAATGTTGCTAATTTACCAAAAATAAAGTTGAGTCGAGTTGAATTTTCTTCAAAAGCAAGCAAAAGTTTATGATGTTTATACAATTTCACTGTGAAATTAGAAAAGTTTTACACTTTTTTGGAGAGAAGTTAAAAATTTGCTTTTTTAAAAAAAAAAAAAATTTTTTTTAGAAACATTTATAAGACTTCCTTTAGTTTTTGCAGAACTGGAAATAAAAATGTGATTGCATGTTGTGTGTGCAAATGTGATGTGAATTACCGGAACTGTGATTTCTCAACAGATGAACTGATGAATAAATACGTGTTTGACTGCTTCATATGACAAAGTTTGTAGTTGAAATTAATTAATATATCACCTTTCACATAGTACTTAACAATAAAATAAATTAAGAGAAATACGACTAAAATAATGGGGATGTACAATATGATAAAGAATAAAGCATCAGGCAAATGATCCAAAAAAATCTAAACTTGGTCTGAATCAAAGTCTTAAGCTGTTTTTTTTAAATGAATCAACATTTTCATTAGAGTGTAAAAACCAAAAAGCAAATCCCCTGAGTTTTAAATCAGGGCCTATAAATGGCTAATCATTTTTGGTGAATGTCCAAAGGGTTGAAATATGAGGGATTAACAATTCACAAACATACAGAGGAGCTTAGCCTTGCAAGTTCACACCAAGCTTTTAAAAGTGACAGATTACCAAGAAGGGAAAGATAAACAGGAAATGTGCGCAATGACTTTACAAAATCAAATCTGACATCCATTGGTTAAGGTCCAGCAAGTCTATCTTATCATTCCAGAACAGGAATAAATTCTAACCTGATCCACTGAAGCCAGTCCAGAGGTTTTATTAAAATAGCCTTTAAACGCAACAAACCAGCATGTCCCAATTGTCCCATAAAAATTCTTAAAATACCCATTACAGAAGTCTTTACAAAGCAAAAGTTTAAACAAAAGAAGGCCTTGATTGGATCAGTAGGATCGACTCCTGCGTCATGATAAGAGACAAAGAGGTGAAGGAGGAAGATACCGAGCATGAGATCAGGAGGAAGTCAGCTGGTACCTGAAGGTCCTGATGACCCGAGTCAATAAAACCTTCGACGTGAGGAGCTCATCTGTGGCGTGAAGCAACAATCTGTCAACTCGCTCAAAAGCTCATACACACAAGGTGAGTACTTCTGTAAAGTTTAGGTTGTGGTGGCTCAAGTTGACCTTGTTCCTTAATAGTTTTACAGAGACTAACTTTATTACCAGTTGAGTTTAAAAGCATATAGAGTTTATGTTGTATTTTTCAGGTTTTGTTGTTCGTTGAGCCCTTTAGGTTTCTGGTTGATCTCCAAACATGCATTACATTTAGTCAAGAATATTTAATATCATTCTTCCCATAAAATCAGTGTTGACATATTTATTTGTTACTAAAATCCATTAAAAAAAACAGATTTTAGTTGAGAGCAACTGAAGTTAAATTATATCAATCTTAGCAGATCAAATCAGATTACTGGAAAAATTGGAGATCTTATAACAACTTGCTTTCCATTTGTTTAAGCAAATTGTTCTTGACTTGGTTTATGTTTACAGCCACCATCTTGTCTCTGCCACCGTTTTGTGCTCCTCGTCACCATGCCTCTCCGCCACTGCTCCGTTGAGATTAAGAACAACACAAACAACTACACTCTTTCAAATCCAAGGTGATTTGTTGTTTCATCTGTTTCTGAAAGGAAAAAAGCGATGGGCCCAATTTAAACAGTTCTCTATACTTCTTGGGGTCTTTTTAAAGTGATATTTACAATAAAAGAACGTTGGATTATAAAGTTCAGCTAAACACAAGTCTGAATTTTATGTATTATTCCTTTAGTTTTTCTGTGTTTTATTTGACTTGTGTTTCAGCTTCAGGTGTTTTTTCCCCTCATTTAGTCCGGCTCCTGTCCCTCTCACTCACCTGATCCTCGTCGTCTTTCTCCATGATCTCTGTCGTTAAGTGTGTCTTTAAATACTGTCATTTTGTGTGTGTCGTCTGTGCATTGTGCCCAACACACTTGTCATGTTTGGATCTCTTCCAGTCCTCTAGTGAGTTTTCCCTGTGAATATTTTGTCACGTCAGCCTTTTGTTTGGCTTTTTGTTCATAAATTAGTGTCATCCTTTTATGTTCGAGTTCTGAGTTTTGGTTTTGTATTTGGGTTCTGCTCACTTCCACAAACTATGATAATGTGAAAGATTTAATGAAATCTCTGTGACAGAAACGTTGGAAGTAAGTTACAAATAAAATGATGAAGGCAAATCTTAAAATTGTGACCATGCAATATTTAAAATACAAAACTCAGAATGAACTGGAACCAAATATTTATCTGCCAAATAAAACTTATTTTCAGTTTGGATTCAAAGATTTTGTTGAACAAAAACTTCTTAAAGAGGAAAACTAAATACAAGAGTAATATAAATATAATACACTGATGTAGCAAAAAGAACAAATTACAGTGCAAACCTGGTCAATCAAGGGGTTAAGATTTGACTGTTTGTCTCTTTCTTTCAGTCACAATCCAAAATTTGACCATAGGTGAGAGTAGGAGCGTAGACGGACTGGTAAACAGAGAGCTTCGCCTTGCAGTTCAGCTCCCTCTCTTTACAACGGGTCGGCACAGAGTCCACAAAACGGCAGAAGCTACACTGACCCAGCTGCCGATCTCATTCTCCATTCTTCCCTAACTCATGAATAAAACCCCAGAATACTTTAACTATTTTTTTTTTTTTTTGGAAGCACCTTGGCCATTTTGCAACCACTTCTAGTTATTAGTCCCTCAGCACCAAAAAAAAGCCAGCCTCAGCTGAGGGATACAGGTCAATGTTTTAGCCTGGATTCCAACAGGAACGACACCTTTTACATTATTTGATCAGATATATTGATGGAAACTTCTTAAGTACAGTCTGTACATCTGGAAAAGTTTAAAGCAGATATTTTTGGGGTGATGTAACAAATTACAGCGTCAGGTTTTATTAAAAACCTTCAGCCCAATTGAATAAATAGAGCCATGATCCTTTCCACGTGCATCATTTTTACAATAAAGCAACTGATCTGATTATTATTTACATTCCTTGATTAAAAAAATAAATCTTGCTGAATAAAACCTCAAAAATTAAACCAGTGGAATGTAAAGGTGTTGAACTAACCTCTCTGCAGAAATGTTGAAACTGCCTCCATGTCTTTGAGAATGATTTATTCCTGCTCAAACCACAATTAAACTCTTAAAGTACTTGAGCCCCATCTGATCAGATGCGTCTGTTTTCAGGGTGTTCACTGAGAGCGGATTCTGTCAAGTCCCGTTGCCACCGATGGTCGGTCCCTGCTCTGCCGTCAAGGCTCTGTTCAACAAGACCACGGGTACAGCAACTGGAGCTGTTGGCGTCTTCACCTATGACCTTTTCAACGCCGACTTGAATGATTACAGCCACATCATGGCAGTCATGTTCTCTGTGCCGTACGACAGAGTCCTTTATTCCAACTGGTTGGCTGTGGGAATCTTCGACAAAGGAAAAAATTGTGACTACAACCTGTACGACCGCATGTACAAGAGTAGTGGAAGTAACTTTGTGAGAGGAAAGGCCGACGGCTCCAGCATCTTTTATGAGGGTGACTACGTGATTCTCAGTGCCTCCATGACTGCATCTGGTGAAGCCATCCTGAAAGTGGAGGTCAACGATACTGGCTTGTATTAAATCAAGAAGAGACAGATCTGGCTGTTAGTGTAAACCATAATCTACAGTAATCTTGTGAATAGCTGCTGCTCAAATGACAAAGTTGTAAGTAAACACATGCCAT